CATTCTAATCGTAAACATATGCCTAGGCTCAACGCAGGTGCTTGTGGTGATGACGTTCAGGTGTTTACTGCCAATGACATCATGGCATTATGGTGGCATGACAAACGAGATGTCACATTGTTGACAACCATTCACCGTAACGAAATGCAAGACAGTGGCAAAGTTGATCGAGTGATTAATGAACGTATTCGAAAACCAGTGACAGTGATTGATCATACACAAAACATGCGCTTGGTTGACAAATGTGACATGCAGATTGGCTTTGTTGATTGTGTTCGTAAGAGTTACAAGTGGTACATGAAACTTTTCTTCTATCTCATAGACATTTCAATGCTCAATGCATATAATATGTACCAAATGAAGACTGGCAACAGACCACCTTATGGTGAATTTTGTTTGTCTGTTGTCAGACAACTCATAATGAAGTACCAGGTAACAACACCTGCTATACAATAAGGTCCTCGAACTCCTCAGTATATACCCAAGCGTTTGAGGAGGGAAGGTGATCATTTCATAATACAGCTTCCTTCAACTAAGAAGAAATTTGCTCAGAAGAGATGTGTTGTCTGTGCACAAACAAAACGACGGCAACAAAGACGCAAAGACACTCGGTTTATGTGTGAGGAATGTAAGGTACCTCTGTGCATGGTGCCTTGTTTCAAGGACTTCCACAAGCACCAGCAGTTCTAAAACCATGTCCAGTGATTATAAATATGTAAATATATGATAGAACATTAGTATTATACAAGATTTGTGCATGTTTATTGTAATAAAAGTGGTAAACAATAATGTGATAATAACTTTAGTGTGGTTATTGTGTTCAATACAATGAGTTTATATATATACATTATATACAGTATTGGTCTCTCAGGCCCCAAATGTTAGTAGGAAAAGAAAAAAATTAGAAAAGAAAAGAAAAAACTACAAAAAACATTAAATAAAGTAATGCTCGTATATGGAAATCGTCGATGTTGCCACCACCAGGTCTTTTTGGGTAAACTTCTCGGCACTGTATCTCGGTAAGTACTGATCAGAATTTTTATTTTGTCTTATTACCTTCACAAAAATATACTCTTTAATTCTGTAAGAAAAAAATAATTTTTTTTTTTTTTCAAAGTTTCTTGGACACTGGAGCACCGCTTCAGATTTTGGCCTTGGACCCTGAAGGGGTTAAAGTAGTCAGGAAGTGGAACAAACTGGAGAGTGAAGTTGTAGAGGCAGGATTCATACGTAACTTTAAGACAAGGTATGACAAGGCTTTTGAAGCAAGGAGAGAGTGAACCTAATAGTGACCAGTGAAGAGGCATAGCTAGGAGTTGTGACTCAACCCCCTGCAACCACATATGTGAGTACACACATACATACACACACACACACCAGGAGCTGTGAATTGACCCCAGCAACAACAACTAGGTGAGTACAACTTCAAACTCATACATACAACCAGGGAGGTACTACCATCCTGCCAAATGATTGTGAAATGAAAACCTGTAATTGTTTTACACAATGGTAAAATTGCATCTTGCTACTTCTACTTACACATGTGTATACACACTCCTCTGGATTTTCTTCTATTTTCTTAATAGTTCTTGTTCTTATTTATTTTCCTTTCATCTCTGTGGGGAAATAGAGAAGAATCCTTCTTCTGTAAGTCATGCATGTCATAAAAGGCGACTAAAATGCCAGGAACAAGGACCTAGTATTCCCTTCTCTAAACATAAGAAAAACTTTATTAAATTGGGATGTTGGAATGTGCATGGATGTTGTGCAGATAAGAAAGAGATGATTTTCTGTGTTACGAATGAAAAGAAGCTAGATTTCTTAGCTCTAAGCAAAACAAAGCTGAAGGGGGTAGAGAAGTTTTTGCAGGGAGAAATTGATGGAATTAAGTCAGGTGTATGTGAGAGGGTTAGAGCTAAGGAAGGAGTAGCAGTAATGTTGAAGGATCAGTTATGGCAGGAAAAGAGGGGAATATAAAGGTATAAATAAATTCAGTGATTATGTGGATTAAAATAAGGGTCATATACAAAAAGTGGGTTACAGTAGGGCACCACTTATACGGCAGGCTAGGTTCCAGGCTACTGCCGGAAAGCGGACATCACCGGAAAGCAGAACACCATTTTTTCCACTTATAAATGCATACAAATGTCAGATAACAAGTTTACACTAACATATATTAAGCTAACAGTAGCACTAAGTATTAAAAAAACAATAAAAAGTAAAATATATACACAGTACACTAATTACTTACCTTAAAATATGTGTAGTCTTAATGTAGGGTGAGAGGTGAGTAGTATTTATTTGAAGGAAATCAGGTGTAGGTAGCTAGGAATCCCAGGGGCTCCCAGGGGCTCATAGTGATAAAATGCACATGCAGTACACATATTACCTACCTTAAAATATGTGTAGGTTTAATGTGGGGTGAGAAGTGAGTAGTATTTATTTGTAAGAAGTCAGGTGTAGGTAGCCAATAGGTGTAGGCAGCCAGGAAGCCCACTTGCTCCTATTCCTAACATAATACTGCCTCTCCCCTCTTAGCGTTGTACTCGTTTACCGACAACTCGTTCTTACAACCGGCTCTCTGACCAGTATGCATACCTAAATAATGTATATTAGAGCTGATTTCCTCTATTCTGTTTATTACAGTATACAGTACACTACTGTATAAACATTAAAAAATATACAAGTAATGTTATAAATGGCATAAAGGCGACATTAAAACATCAAAGATGGTTGACAAAGATCAGTTACCATTATAGTATGCTCCTCACTTAGCGACGAATTCATTTACTGACATGGTCTTAGGAACTTAGCGACGAATTCATTTACTGACATGGTCTTAGGAATGGAACTCCATTAAGTGAGGAGAGGCTGTATGTGATATTTAAAGCGACTCAGAGCAATATTATTACCATCAGTATTCATACCTGGTTCACTGAGTTTAATCATTTGTAGCAACTACCTGTAGATGCTATCATAAACAAAGAGAGAAATGATGAGAAGTCATGCCGAGATTTGTACACAAAGCCGAATGTGTTAAGGGGAGTGACTGGGCCAAAGGCGGATTGAGAAACATTTTTTCTGGTGGTGGACTAGAGAAAATATAATTTTTTCCCGCCACCCAGCTGCCACACCTCACATTTATGTGAAATTTTTTGTACTGTGGGTGTATGTATCATGTTTATATGCTGTGTAACATGTTTCTTATAAAATTTTGAAGAAAATATCATAGATGAATTAATAAAAATGTCTGTTAATATAATATAAAACATTCAGTGTACCCAAGAGTGATTATTATTATATCATATTAGTATTATTATTATTGCTATGGCATCAAGACTAGAGGGACACTCTCAGTGATTTTAATGTGTATCTGCATGCCGGCACTGTGTAAGTTTATTTAGATACAGGTACACATGAGTATAATTATCAGCAACGAGGAGACGGTTGGAGGCAGTGGAGATGTCCTGTCTAAGGGCAATGTGTGGTGTAAATATTATGCTGGAAGTCCAAGCCCCTTGCACACAAAACCTCCTTTACCCCCTCCCTCCAACCTTTCCTAGGCCGACCCCTACCCCGCCTTCCTTCCACTACAGACTGATACACTCTTGAAGTCATTCTGTTTCGCTCCATTCTCTCTACATGTCCGAACCACCTCAACAACCCTTCCTCAGCCCACTGGACAACAGTTTTGGTAATCCCGCACCTCCTCCTAACTTCCTAACTACGAATTCTCTGCATTATATTCACACCACACATTGCTCTCAGACATGACATCTCCACTGCCTCCAGCCTTCTCCTCGCTGCAACATTCATCACCCATGCTTCACACCCATATAAGAGCGTTGGTAAAACTATACTCTCATACATTCCCCTCTTCGCCTCCAAGGACAAAGTTCTTTGTCTCCACAGACTCCTAAGTGCACCATTCACCCTTTTTCCCTCATCAATTCTATGATTCACCTCATCTTTCATAGACCCATCCGCTGACACGTCCACTCCCAAATATCTGAATACATTCACCTCCTCCATACTCTCTTCCTCCAATCTGATATCCAATCTTTCATCACCTAATCTTTTTGTTATCCTCATAACCTTACTCTTTCCTGTATTCACTTTTAATTTTCTTCTTTTGCACACCCTACCAAATTCATCCACCAATCTCTGCAACTTCTCTTCAGAATCTCCCAAGAGCACAGTGTCATCAGCAAAGAGCAACTGTGACAACTCCCACTTTATGTGTGATTCTTTATCTTTTAACTCCACACCTCTTGCCAAGACCCTCCTTTTACATTTAGTAATATATACAGGAGAAGAGGTTACTAACCCCTTGCTCCCGCCATTTTAGTTGCCTCCTACAACACTCATGGCTTACAGAGGAAGAATTCTGTTCCACTTCCCCATGGAGGTAAGAGAAAATAAACAAGAACAAGAACTAGTAAGAAAATATTAGAAAACCCAGAGGGGTGTGTATATATATGCTTGTACATGTATGTGTAGTGTGACCTAAGTGTAAGTAGAAGTAGCAAGACATACCTGAAATCTTGCATGTTTATGAGACAGACAAAAGACACCAGCAATCCTACCATCATGTAAAACAATTACAGGCTTCCGTTGTACACTCACTTGGCAGGATGGTAGTACCTCCCTGGGTGGTTGCTGTTTACCAACCTACTACCTATTGTACTTATGATTATAGTTAAGTATACAAGAAGTACTAGCTAATAGTCTTTCTAGTTCTTATGTAACATGTAAGCCATACAATTAGTTGCCCTAAATGCATGATTAGTGGCTTTCTTTTATGCCTACCATTGTATTAATTCATGTAAACTACATTATTTGTATGGCATAAAGAAATAAATATTATTGTGTTTTTCTAATTTCTTCTGCTGTCCCTCAGCTGAACCACTGCTTCCCACATACTGTTTTACATCCTCTGTTAAACAATTTCAGTAGTTTCACTCTTATTAATTTTAATATTTTCTTCCTTGTAATAATAGATTGGTACATTGCTTGGTGAAGCAGAATATCAGCAGAATATTCTTCCATGTGTAGTGAAGCTGTTTTCATCAAGTGACCGTGCCACGCGACTCAAACTCTTACAGCAGATTGAATTCCTTATAGAACACATGAATCTCTCCACTGTTAATGAACAAGTGTTTCCTCAGCTGGCGACGGGGTTTCTAGACACCAATCCAACCATCCGAGAGCACACAGTGAAGGTTAGTCTGTGAAGTTTGCCAGTGAGAGACCCAAGCATGGAGGCTCTTAACATAAGTCATGATGTTTGCAAAGTTTGCCAGTGAGAGACCCAAGCATGGAAGTTCAAGCACCTAGTAGTGACCAGTGAAGTGGCAGGGCCAGGAGCTGTGACTTGACCCCTGCAACTGCAACTAGGTGAGTACAAATCATGATGTTTGTGAAGTTTGCCAGTTAGAGACCCAAGCATTGAGGCTCTTAATACAACATATTATGTGGCATCATTGGTAATTTAACAGTTAAATCTAAATTATCTAGGTTTCTCTAGTTCCATAATAAAAGTTTTTCGTTGAATTAACATGAGAATGATAACTTTGTTGATAAATTATAAATGTGGCCCAGTTTATTTATGAAGGTGCTACCATGACAGATTTTAGGAATCTTCTCTTGTATTAAGAGGATGGTCTCAGGTGCTCAGGATACATTATACAAAGGCAGTATTGTCAGTATTTACTTTTTTGTTGTTCAGCAGAGCTATGACATAATCTCTAGTTAAGTGTACAATAATTTTGTGTTCAAATTGTTAAAAAAGGTATATTGGTTTTGTTGTATATTTAAGCTGCTCAGTTTTTTACTACGTAGAGCCTACAACATTAAACAAGTTGTGCAATGGAGTCAGCTGTATATTGCACTTGGGCCTGTGAAGAAGCCTTTTTTTTTTTCTAACCAAAAAGAAAAAATGCTAATCCAGCCTACTAAGTATTTAACTCAGAATCTAGGGTAGGTTAGGTTATGTTAGGTGGGTTAATTTTTAGAATGGCAAAATAAAACTAAACTCTTCCCATACACACAATGGGGACAGGTAAATGGGATTAAGTTGGGCGTATCTGAGAATCAGAGCTAAGGGAGGTTTTAGGGTAATACTAAATGATCAGGTATAGAATGAGAGAGGGAGTATGTGTGTATAAACTCACGACTTATTCATTAGATCAAAGTGAGATAAAAAAAAAAAAAAAAAAAAAACGAGTACAGTGGACCCCCGGTTAACGATTTTAATCCGTGCAAGAGGGGTAATTGTTATGCGAAATAATCGTTATGTGAATGAATTTTCCCCATAAGAAATAATGGAAATAAAATTAATCCGTGCAAGACACCCAAAAGTATGAAAAAAAATTTTTTTACCACATGAAATGTTAATTTTAATACACACAAACTGAAAAAGGCATGCACACTTACATGACACTTACTTTTATTGAAGATCTGGTGATGATTGATGGGATGGGAGGAGGGGAGAGCATTATCTTCTTACTGTTTAGAAGGGGAATCCCCTTCCATTAGGACTTGAGGTAGCAAGTCCTTTTCTGGGGTTACTTCCCTTCTTCTTTTAATGCCACTAGGGCCAGCTTCAGAGTCACTGGACTTCTTTCGCACAAGATATCTGTCCATAGTGGCCTGTACCTCTCGTTCCTTTATCACTTCCCTAAAGTGTTTCACAACATTGTCAGTGTACAGGTTGCCAACACGGCTTGCAATAGCTGTGTGAGGGTGATTTTCATCCATGAAGGTTTGCACTTCAGCCACTTTGCACAGATTTCTTTATCTTTGTAGTAGGCAACTTCTTCAATTTCTCTCTCCCCTCCTCTGAACCAGTTTCCCCAGGTCTGGCCTCTTGCTCTTGAAGTTGATCTATCAGCTCATCAGTGGTTAGTTCTTCATTGTCCTCCTCCACCAACTCCACATCCTCCCCACTAACCTCCAACCCAAGGACTTTCCCAATGCCACAATGATTCCTCAATTGGCATAATCCTCTCAGGGTTAGCCTCAAACCCTTCAAAATCCCTTTTGTCTACACATTCTGGCCACAGTTTCTTCCAAGCAGAGTTCAAGGTCCTCTTAGTCACTTCCTCCAAGCCTTACCTATAAGGTTTACACAATTGAGGATATTAAAGTGATCTCTCCAAAACTCTCTTAGAGTCAGTTTGAGTTTCTGAGGTCATTACAAAGCACCTTTCAAACAGAGCTTTTGTGTACAGTTTCTTGAAGTTGGAAATAACCTGCTGGTCCATGGCTGCAGGAGAGGAGTGGTATTAGGAGGCAAAAACTTCACCTTAATGAAGCTCATGTCCCCATAAAGTCGCTCTGCCATGTCTGTAGGATGACCAGGGGCATTGTCTAACACCAGGAGGCACTTAAGTTCTAATTTCTTTTCAGTTAGGTAATCTTTCACATTGGGCAAATGCATGGTGTAACCAGTTATAGAAAAATTCCCTAGTGACCCATGCCTTACTGTTTGCCCTCCACAGCACACACAAATTATCCTTGAGGACATTCTTTTGCCTGAACGCTCTGGGAGTTTCAGAGTGATACACTAATAAAGGCTTCACTTTGCAATCACCAGTAGCATTGGCACACATGAGAAGAGTAAGCCTGTCTTTCATAGGCTTATGTCCTGGGAGTGCCTTTTCCTCCTGAGTAATGTAGGTCCTGCTTGGCATTTTCTTCCAGAACAGGCCTGTTTTCATCACAATTAAACACTTGTTCAGGTTTCAGTCCTTCAGTTTCTATGTACTCCTTGAATTCCTGCACATATTTTTCAGCCGCTTTGTGTCCGAACTGGCAGCCTCACCATGCCTTATCACACTATGGATGCCACTACGCTTTTTAAAATCTCTCAAACCAAACTTTGCTGGCCTTAAATTCACTCACATCATCACTAGTTGCAGGCATTTTTTTAATTAAATCCTCATGCAACTTCCTAGCCTTTTCACATATGATCGCTTGAGAGACGCTATCTCCTGCTATCTGTTTTTCATTTATCCACACCAATAAGAGTCTCTCAACATTTTCCATCACTTGCGATCTTTGTTTCGAAAACACAGTTAAACCTTTGGCAAGAACAGCTTCCTTGATTGTCTTTCTGGTGCCCACAATAGTAGCGATGGTTGATTGGGGTTTCTTGTACAGCTTGACTAGGTCGGCTATACGCACTCCACTTTCATACTTATCAATGATCTCTTTCTTCATTTCAATGGTAATTCTCACCCTTATTGGTGTAGGGTTGGCACTAGAAGCTTTCTTGGGGCCCATGGTCACTTATTTTCCAGAAACAGCACCGAAAACACTGTAATAATACGAAATATTCCGAGTGTATGCTTGGATGATACCGCGGAGGCTGGCTGGTAAACAATGGCACGGGCGGCACATGTGAGGCTGGCTGAGGGCGCACATTGGACGCGTCTCGGACGAAAATCGGTGAGCGGGTTTTTAATCGGTATGCGCGGCAAAAATTTTGCGATTAAAGTAAGCGGTATGCGAAATAATCGCTATGTGATGCCATCGTTATGCGGGGGTCCACTGTAATTATAGTATGTGTACAGTGAAACCCCAGGTTTTGGCCGCCCTGGGAATCAGCCACTTCGGGTTTTGGCTGCTTTTTTTCGGCCAGATTTTGTCCCGCGTTTTGGCCGCTGCCCCAGGTTTCGGCCGGCGTACCAGACCTGTCCGCCTGCCCGCGCAGGTGTCGTCAGCCATTCTAGGGTTGTTTATCCTTGAGTGAACATTACCCTGTGCTCTCATCCAGCCAGCCAGCCGGCCAGCCAGCCGGCCAGCCAGCCTGCCAGCCAGCCAGCCAGCCAGCCAGCCAGCCAGCCAGCCAGCCAGCCAGCCAGCCAGCCAGCCAGGGCCCGGCCCGGCCCGGCCCGGGCAGGGCAGGGCAGGGCAGGGCAGGGCAGGGCAGGCAGCAAGCCAATTAGTGAGGCAGCCAGCAAACCATCCTGCTAGCCAGCCAGGCAGACAGCCAGTCATTAATTGTGACTGTGAAAAGTGTGCAAAGTGGAATGAGTTGCAAACTTTTGTTGAAAAGTATCACCCTGACCAAGCTGAAACAAGCCATATCTACAACATGTTCATATTAGTCTTGAGGATAGGAAGAGTGGCCAGTTTGGCAACTATGATACCATTGTAAATAAATTGATGGAAGAGTGAATTATTCATCATATGTATGGATTGTGTGTGATTCGAATATAATGCAGAGAATTCATAGTTTGGAAATTAGGAGGAGGTGCGGGATTTCCAAAACTATTATCGAGAGGGCTGAGGAGGGGTTGTTGAGGTGGTTGGGATATGTAGAGAGGATGGAACAAAATAGAATGACTTCAAGAGTGTAAAAATCTGTAGTGGAGGGAAGGCAGGGTAGGGGTCAGCCTAGGAAAGGTTGGAGGGAGGGGGGTAAAGGAGGTTTTGTGTGCAAAGGGCTTGGACTTCCAGCAAGCGTGCATGAGTGGTTGATAGGAGTGAATGGAGACAAATGGTTTTTAGGACTTGATGTTCTGTTGGAGTGTGAGCAAGGTAACATTTATGAAGGGATTCAGGGAAACCGGCAGGCCGGACTTGAGTCCTGAAGATGGGAAGTTCAGCGCCTGCACTCTGAAGGAGGGGCGTTAATGCTGCAGTTTTTTAACTGTAGTGTAGGCATACCTCTAGCAAGACAGTGATAGAGTGAATAATGATGAAAGTTTTTTTTTTTCAGCCACCCTGCCTTGGTGGGAGATGGCCGATGAAAGGGGTAAAGCAGCTGGAACTGACGGGATTATGACAGAAATGTTAAAAGCAGGGGGTTATATAGTGTTGGAGTGGTTGGTATTTTTGTTTAATAAATGTATGAAAGAGGGGAAGGTACCCAGGGATTGGCAGAGAGCATGTATAGTCCCTTTATATAAAGGGAAAGGGGACAAAAGAGATTGTAAAAATTATAGAGGAAGAAGTTTACTGAGTATACCAGGAAAAGTGTATGGTAGGGTTATAACTGAAAGAATTAGAGGTAAGACAGAATGTAGGATTGCGGATGAGCAAGGAGGATTCAGAGTGGGTAGGGGATGTGTGGATCAAGTGTTTACATTGAAGCATATATGTGAACAGTATTTAGATAAAGGTAGGGAGGTTTTTATTGCATTTATGGATTTAGAAAAGGCATATGATAGAGTGGATAGAGGAGCAATGTGGCAGATGTTGCAAGTACAGTGGACCCCTGGTTAACGATATTTTTTCACTCCAGAAGTATGTTCAGGTGCCAGTACTGACCGAATTTGTTCCCTTAAGAAATATTGTGAAGTAGATTAGTCCATTTCAGACCCCCAAACATACACGTTCAAACGCACTTACATAAATACACTTACATAATTGGTCACATTCGGAGGTAATCGTTATGCGGGGGTCCACTGTATATGGAATAGGTGGTAAGTTACTAAATGCTGTAAAGGGTTTTTATGAGGATAGTGAGGCTCAGGCTAGGGTGTGTAGAAGAGAGGGAGACTACTTCCCAGTAAAAGTAGGTCTTAGTCAGGGATGTGTAATGTCACCATGGTTGTTTAATATATTTATAGATGGGGTTGTAAAAGAAGTAAATGCTAGGGTGTTTGGGGGAGGGGTGGGATTAAATTATGGGGAATCAAATACAAAATGGGAATTGACACAGTTGCTTTTTGCTGATGATACTGTGCTTATGGGAGATTTTAAAGAAAGGCTAGTGGATGAATTTGGGAGTGTGTGTAAAGGTAGAAAGTTGAAAGTGAACATAGAAAAGAGTAAGGTGATGAGGGTATCAATTGATTTAGATAAAGAAAAATTAGATATCAAATTGGGGAGGAGTATGGAAGAAGTGAATGTTTTCAGATACGTACTTGGGAGTTGACGTATCGGCGGATGGATTTATTAAGGATGAGGTTAATTATAGAATTGATGAGGGGAAAAAAGGCAAGTGGTGCATTGAGGTATATGTGGAGACAAAAAACGTTATCTATGGAGGCAAAGAAGGGAATGCATGAAAGTATAGTAGTACCAGCACTCTTATATGAGTGTGAAGCTTGGGTTGTGAATAAATGTTGTGGTCCCCCTAGACTCTGACAGGGGTTCCTAGACTCCAGTTGGGGCTCCCTAAACCCTGACAGGGGCTCCCTGGACCCCAACCAGCCCAGGTGAAATTACAGGATGTTATCCAATTTATTTGTATATTTTTGTGGAACGTACTTATCATATGTGGTTGTTACCTTGATGCACCTAAGAAATAAGGATCTATTATGTGACAGGCCATCATCCTGTAAGGATTTCAACCTCTCAACAAAAATATTACTACTAGATCAACTCCCAACTTTTTGCCTAAAATTTGGTCTTGTTCCCTTGATGTGCTCTTGAATACACAGTTACACAACACATTTATGATTGGATGCTGTATAAAAAGTCCTGCAACCAAATAAATGTTGCTATTTTTTTGTATTGTATACCCCATTAATTTGCAAAACCAAGTCCAGATGAGTGTGAATGCTGTTTTTCTTTTCAGTCCATATTGTTCCTGGCACCTAAGCTGAATTATAATAATCTCAACGTGGAAGTCTTGAAGCATTTTGCTCGTCTTCAGTCCAAGGATGATCAAGTAAGTGCCTTTGTGTTTTACAGGTACAGAAGAATTTCCATGTTCAACACAATAAATTCATTGGTATTCAGGTTCAATGAACCATTGAAGGAAGAAAGAAATTGCCAGTATAAGGTTCTCTTGTATATTTTCATTTAGTGACCCCTTCTACCTTCCACTTTCCTCTTCCTGCTTACCATCAATTTCTGTGCTCTCTGCTGCCCAGGTTCTGAACCCCAGTTACTCAAAGGAAGTACCTCATTTGCTAGTTACTTTTTGTGGAGAATGTTTTACTTTTGTTCCATCAGGTTGGAGGAAGAGTCTAATTATGTTGAATATAGTGTTCTTTGATTTATGCACTGTGATAGGGACCCATGACAGCTATACTGTGATAGGGGCCATGACAGCTGTACTGTGTTAGGGGCCCAGGACAGCTGTACTACTGTCACATGCAAGCCTCTAATTCCTCACAATAAAAATCTTCAGTACGTTTTGCAACTGCACCAATCAACATGACACGTGTACTATATCACTTATGCTGAATTACTGAAGGAAATGGGATATTGCAAATTTCAGATTCACAAAGAAGCAAGGAAAAAGCCTGCATGTTGTTCATAGACTATGACAGTGAGAACAACTGTTTGTGTACTGCTGACACAAGTAAACATTAAAGTCATGATGAGAAAGAACGAGGAAGTTAGTGATATTGAGTTGTATACGTGAAATGCCAGAGAAAGCTTTATTACAAGTCTTATAATTTTGTGATCTCTTGCAACGCACCAGCAGTTATTTTAGCTCGTGGTTAATTTCTGCATTGAGTGTTCTGTCTATGTAAGTCATTTTTCAAGGGCAATGGGTTTGTGGCAGCCCAAGGTGCCTAGCTTCTCCCTCTGAACCCCGTGGGGGCAGGGAATGGGACTAGGCCTGGGGACAGCTGGTCCCAGATGATGAGGAGGTACTTGCACTTCCTCCCGTTGCAGACATTGGTCTGGGACACTCCCATGCCAGGGAGCCAAGGCTGGGCCACCTCTTGGTAAAAGCCTGGGCCAGGCGATTATACCAGCAAATCTACATAAACAATTCAAAGGCAGTGTATTGACACTAAGAGAGGGCTCAACCTACTAAGTATACCAGGTAATGGTGATGGTAAAATTATTATTGAAATGGTTAAGGGAAAGACAAAGTAGGATTGCTGGGAATATGGAGGAAGGGTAGGGGATGTGTAGACCCAATGTTTACATTAACCCATAAACTGTCCAAATGTAGATCTACGTCCACGTGCGGGGGTCTCCGAACGTAGATCTACTTTTTTTTTTTACATGCTTTCAAATGGGGAAAATCAAGGTCGGAGTGCTATGCACGTGAATGTAGATCTACGTTTGGACAGTTTAAGGGTTAAAACATGTAAGTGAGCAGTACTTAAATAAGGATAAGGAACTGTTTGTTGCGTTTATGGATTTAGAAAAAGCATGTAAAAGGATGAGTAGGGGAGCAGCCATATGGTAGCTGTTGCAGTTGTATGGAATAGGAAGTAGGTTATTAAAAGCAATTCAGAGTATTTATGGAGAGTGAGGCTGAGGTTAGGGTATGTAGGAGGAAGGGAAACTATTCCTGAGTAATGAAATTGAAATTACTGTTTTAATTTTCAGGGAGGAATCCGAACCAACACCACTGTCTGCCTGGGCAAGATTACAAATTACCTCCATCCAGATGTGCGACAAAAGTGCCTCACTTCTGCATTCACTCGAGCCATGAGGGACCCGTTTCCCCCAGCACGCACTGCTGGGGTGATGGCTATAGCAGCCACTCAACAGTATTACCCACTACAGGAAGTTGCTGCAAGGTAACCTTTATTCTCTCTCACTAAACATTTACATTAACCCAGCCTTCCAACCAGTTGTGTTGCCTGTGTTTATTCTCACAGTAAACATTTGCATTAACCCAGTGTTCCAACCAGTTGTGTTGCCAGTGTTAGTCTCACAGTAAACATTTGCATTAACCCAGTGTTCCAACCAGTTGTGTTGCCAGTGTTTATTCTCACAGTAAACATTTGCATTAACCCATTCTTTCAACCAGTTCAAAGAAATCAGATCAACTCAAAGTAAGATTTTTTTATTTCCTTGTGTAGTATACAAAATGTAGTTTACGTGTAATAAAGTACAGTGGACCCCCGGTTAACGATATTTTTTCATTCCAGAAGTATGTTCAGGTGCCAGTACTGACCGAATTTGTTTCCATAAGGAATATTGTGAAGTAGATTAGTCCATTTCAGACCCCCAAACATACACGTACAAACGCACTTACATAAATACACTTACATTCTGACGATCTGTTGGAGTGTGAGCAGGGTAATATTTAGTGAAGGGATTCAAGGAAACCGGTTATTTTCATATAGTCGGACTTGAGTCCTGGAAATGGGAAGTACAATGCCTGCACTTTAAAGGAGGGGTTTGGGATATTGGCAGTTTGGAGGGATATGTTGTGTATCTTTATGCGTACATGTATATGCTTCTAAACTGTTGTATTCCGAGCACCTCTGCAAAAGCAGTGATAATGTGTGAGTGTGGTGAAAGTGTTGAATGATGATGAAAGTATTTTCTTTTTTGAGGATTTTCTTTCTTTTTTGGGTCACCCTGCCTCGGTGGGAGGCGGCCGACGTGTTGAAAAAAAAAAAAAAAAACTTACATTATTGGTCGCATTGGGAGGTGATCGTTAAGCGGAGGTCCACTGTATTGTTAAGCACAGAGAAAGTCACTAGCATGCTTTGGTGGCCTTGTGGCTGAAGCTCTTGCTTCACACGACGAGGATCTGGGTTCGATTCCTAACCAGGGTAGAAACATTGGGCATATTTCTTTACACCTGTTGTCTATGTTCACCCATCAGTAAAATGGGTACCTGGGTGTTAGTCGACTGGTGTGGGTCACATCCTGGGACACTGACCTAATTTGCCTGAATTGCTCAGCATAACAGGTGGCTTTCTATATAGTAGTATGTCATTGATGTCAGCTAGGCCTGTATACATTGTACATGTTTTTTTTTTTTTCAACAAGTCGGCTGTCTCCTACCAAGACAGGGTGACCCAAAAAGAATGAAAATCCCCAAAAAGAAAATGCTTTCATCATCATTCAACACTTTCACCTCACTCACACATAATCACTGTTTTTGCATAGGTGCTCAGAACACAACAGTTTAGCAGCATATACGTATAAAGATACACAACATATCCCTCCAAACTTCTAATATCCCAAACCCCTCCTTTAGAGTGCAGGCATTGTACTTCCCATTTCCAGGACTCAAGTCCGGCTATATAAAAATAACCGGTTTTCCTGAATCCCTTCACTAATTATTACCCTGCTCACACTCCAACAGATCGTCAGGTCCCAAATACCATTCGTCTCCATTCACTCCTATCAAACACGCTCATGCGCGCCTGCTGGAAGTCCAAGCCCCTCGCCCACAAAATCTCTCTTACCCCTTCCTTCCAACCTTTTCGAGGACTATCCCTACACCGCCTTCCTTCTCCTACAGATTTAAATGCTGTCCATGTCATTCTACTTTGATCCATTCTCTCTAAATGACCAAACGACCTCAACAACCCCTCTTCAGCCCTCTGACTAATACTTTTATTAACTCCACACCTTCTCCTAATTTCCACACTCCGAATTTTCTGCATAATATTTACACCACACATTGCCCTTAGACAGGACATCTCCACTGCCTCCAACCGCCTCCTCGCTGCTGCATTCACAACCCAAGCTTCACACCCATATAAGAGTGTTGGTACTACTATACTTTCATACATTCCCTTCTTTGCCTCCATAGATAACGTTTTTTGACTCCACATATACCTCAACGCACCACTCACCTTTTTTCCCTCATCAGTTCTATGATTAACCTCATCCTTCATAAATCCATCCGCCGACATGTCAACTCCCAAGTATCTGAAAACATTCACTTCTTCCACACTCCTCCTCCCCAATTTGATATCCAATTTTTCTTTATCTAACTCATTTGATACCCTCATCACCTTACTCTTTTCTATGTTCACTCTCAACTTTCTCCCTTTACACACATGTACTTGTAGTAAATAAAGACATTATTATATGCTTAAGCATTTTGGGCAGACTAATCCTAATACTTACAGTTGTGTTGCCAATGTTTATTTCACAGTAAACATTTACATTAACCCAGCATTGCAACCAGTTTTGTTAAGATATTGTTTGGATTTTTAACCCCAGAGGGTTAGCCACCCAAGATAACCCAAGAAAGTCAGTGTGTCATCTAGGACTGTGTGTCTGATTTCCATTGGGGTCCTTCAGTCTTCTCTTCTAGGATGTGACCCACACCAGTCCATTAACACCCAGGTACCTACTTACTTGCTAGGGGAACTGGGACAAGTGTAAGGAAACTTGCCCAATGTTTCCACCTGGCCAGGGATTGAACCATGGACACTCAGTGTGTAAGGAGAGAGCACTGCCTACTAGGCCTTGGGACACCAGTGTTTACTCTCACATTCAATATTTACATTAACCCAGCCTTCCAATCATTTGTGTTGCCATAGTTTTTTCCTCACACTAAACATTTACATTAACCCAGTGTTTCAGCAAGAGTTGTGTTGCTGGTGTTTACGTACGTTTATACTACATGTAGATTATTCCAGCGTGATAGTACTACAGATTGTACAAACATGGTGGTACTACAGATTGTTCATGCATTCTGTGGTAACAAGGAAATTAGTTCTTTGCCCTTTTTACTGTCCTGTGGCTTAGTTGGTAGCGCACTAAGCTCACACAATGAGTGTCTAGGGATCAATCCCTGGTAATGGTCAAATCAGTGAGTATGTTTCCTTACACCTGCTGCCCCTGTTCAATTAACAGTAAGTAGGTACCTGGATGTTAGTTGACTGGTGTGGGTCGCATCCTGGGGGTGTTAGTATTCCTAATAATAATAATATCTTCATTTCTACAAGTACATGTACAAGGTATACAGACCTAGACTTCTGCGCCAGCCTTCGTCGGGTGTGGATGTCTCTCTGTCGCCTGTGTATCAGTGACAAATTTCCACTGTTCTCTCTGGGATGCTTATGTTCATCTATTTTGCCCACTGGGCACTCTACAGGAGGGGCACCTGTTCATCAGCTTACTTTAGCCAGCTCCATTTTTTTTTCCTCTCTGTGGAAAATTCTTTAACGGTCTTTGGTGGGAAGCCGGTTACTGAACTCAGGTGGGAGTGTGGGTGTCCCTCTCTGCTGGGGCTTGGCAAGGGGGTCTACCGGATCTAATTGGAAACTTCAAGTTTCTAGATATATTTACAAAGGAACTTTTGTTCCTTTTCTCTTATCGCCCAATCTTGGGCAACAATTTTTCCTTGTACCATCGATAAACCGGGCTTGATACGGTGTATGCTATCAGTGGCCCTGATAAACCCAACTAAGAAAGAAAAAAGGTATACAGACCTTGCTGACATCAATGACATACTACTACATAGAAAGCCACTTGTTATGTGGAGCATATCTTAGTCTGGAAAATTGATTTGTGTGTAAAAAAAACTGTCATTGAGGCCAGGGTCCCTTGCATAGATCTACATCATGAGCTCAGCTCACCTTGTGGGTGATTTAAAATAGTGACTGAGATGTTTTCTCAGATGGTTTTTTTGGCTGTTTCTTGGTATCATTTGATATGATGAAAGATATATTACAAAAATAGAGATAATTTAGGTTGGTTTCAGTACTGGATGTTGTTTGAAATTGCACTCAAAGTGCTGAAAATATTTTATTTTTACTAATATTCCTGAGGACAGGTAAGGCACTTTTACAATCCCCCAGTCTGTTTTATGGGATTTTAATAGGTCTAATTCAATTACTGGGATGCCGTAAACCATAACAAATCATTCCCGGTTATATTCTATTATTTGAGAAATAAAATAAATCTTCTGAACTGAGAAAACAAAGGAAAAAGAATACTAACCAATATCCACTTAAAACACTGTGACAGGCCTGCAGTTGAGTATACTGACAGTACATAAATATGTTAGGTGCAATGTGACATGTGGCAATGTTTCACTCTATTTTTGTGTGAATAAGAATTTAAAACAGAAAGCAAGTGTAATATAGGAGAGGCCTGGGGCCAGGGCTGATGAACAGAGGATATGTTTTAGGGCCATAAATGTCCACATTGTATATTATGGACTCTGCTTTTAAATTGATATTTTTTAATTTTGTGTGAAATTGGCCAAATTACCAAGCTCTGATTACAGCAGGGGTGGGGAATGTCCGGCCCGTGGGCGTTATACGGCATGCGTAATCATTTGGTCTGGCCCCGCCAAGGCAATTGCAGGCGGGACTTGAAATTCAATAAATCTAGGAGCTTTTCTCATAGCAACATAAATTTACATTAATACTTCTTCATACTGATTTACACTGTACGTATAATGAAAAAATACTAAACCTATTATCCAAATAAGTATGCAGAATTATGAAGATGCCTTTTAGCTTACCATTGCAAAGAGTTGACTGTGCTCCAGACTGACCGATACAAACCTGGAAAAGCAGTTGCGAGTAGCAACATCAATACCAGCTAACATCACATGCCTCACCAAAGAGAAGCAGTTCTAGCCATCATATTAGGCATAAGTTAGTTAAATATTTGACTAAATATAGCAGGCTAATTTTTAAGTTGATAATTTTGTATGGCCTGCGAATGATGTTATAAATATCCAAATGGCTGTTGGCAGAAAAAAGGTTCCCCAGCTCTGCTTTATAGGGTAGTTGAAATAGTTGAATGGGCAGTTTCTTGTGCTCATTTGATTGAATGGAAAGCATACTAGTGAAATAGCAAATAATTTGGTCAAATGGAACAATGGAATGGCTTAAAATAGGACTCAAAGTGAGTGAAATCGCCAGTGTGTAAATTGCACCGAGACCACAAAGTTTGTGCTTGTGTAATTCCGTATTTTTTCCATCGAATTTTTTATTTTTGGTGTCATTACCTTTGGAAAAAGATTCTCTACCATTTCAGATATTTTTTTTTACTTCTAATTTTTGGATTTTGAGAGCAAGTTTCCTTTTAGGGGTCTAGACAATGAAAAGGCTAACAGGTTCATAACATGTGTACTTGGGTCTAGACAAAGACAGGCTGGTTGATTGGTGGTAGAGGGAGGGTAAAAGGAAGGAAGATTGTAATTGAATTTTGAATTTAATTTGTTCTCAGTTGTTTTCTGACCAGTTGTGTTTATTTTTTGTATACGAGTGTACGGTGTCCATCTGTGTACTCAAACTTTCTTTGGTAAAAATAAGTAATGTTGATTTTTTCGTATTTTTTCTGTTAATCGTGTAGGTATTATGATTGAATTTTGGTTTGTATTATTTCACAGTTGTTTATGGACCTAAGTCATTTTTTTATCTGACCACTTGGTGCATGGGTGATAATCTAGCATCTTTATCAAAAACATTCATTATGAAATATGGAATTTAAAAAGGTCTTGGAATGTATCCCTTTATTGTACATTTTATTGAGTTGATTGTACCGTACGTGCCATGGGACCAGAAATGCATCTATAGCAGAGAGCAAGGGACACCGATATAGTGTGCATCCTAAGTCAAAGTCAAAGCCAAATTTTATTCCCACATGATGCAATAATTATACAGATATTGGTGATACTAGATTACATGCAGAAAGCCCATGTTTGTGCAGAGCATTTCTGGCTTAAGACTTCAATGCTACTAGCTGAAGACTGCAATGGTAAACTTATTTTATTTGTGGTAACAATGATTTCCTACTTAACTGGAAGAGCAATATGTTATATATCTTCCACAGGATCCTGCCAAGTCTTTGCCAGCTAACATTAGACCCAGACAAAGCTGTACGAGACTGTGTTTTCCGGGTCTTAAAAGGATTTCTCAGCAAATTAGAAAAAGTTTCAGAGGATCCAACACTCAGAGAGCAAATAGGTAAGATTAACCTTTTTCCTTTTGTACTGAATCTTATGTTTTTTAAATGGTAATTGTGTTCTGTTTCACTGCTACCTCAACTTTTGCCACTCGTTAAACTGGAAATATTGTACAGATTAACCTCCTACCTGTCTTTTTTATTTCTAGGTGGTTTCTCACTTTGCATCATTCGGTATTTTAAACACTAATCCAGCCATATAAATTAGTTTATTTATATGCACTTTTGTAACTGTTTTACATGATGGTAGGATTGCTGGTGCCTTTTTTTTCTGTCTCATACACATGCAAGATTTCAGGTACATCTTGCTACTTCTACTTACACTTAGGTCACACTACACATACATGTACAAGCGTATATATACACACCCCTCTGGGTTTTCTACTATTTTCTTTCTAGTTCTTGTTCTTGTTTATTTCCTCTTACTTCCATGGGGAAGTGGAACAGAATTCTTCCTCTGTAAGCCATGAGTGTTGTAAGAGGCTACTAAAATGCCGGGAGCAAGGGGCTAGTAACCCCTTCTCCTTTATATATTACTAAATGTAAATGGAGAAACTTTCGTTTTTCCTTTTGGGCCACCCCGCCTCGGTGGGATACGGCCGGTGTGTTGAAAGAAAGAAATGGAGAAACTTTCGTTTTTCCTTTTGGGCCACCCCGCCTCAGTGGGATACGGCCGGTGTGTTGAAGGAAAAGAAATATGCACTTTTTAGAGGGGCAGCAAATATATCAGAAAAACCCAGAGGGGTGTGTATATATGTGCTTGTACATGTATGTGTAGTGTGACCTAAGTGTAAGTAGAAGTAGCAAGACACACCTGAAATCTTGCATGTTCATGAGACAGAAAAAAGGACACCAGCAATCCTACCATCATGTAAAATAATTACAGGCTTTCGTTTTGCACTCACCGTCCTGCCAAGTGAGTGTAAAACGAAAGCCTGTAATTGTTTTACATGATGGTAGGATTGCTGGTGTCTTTTGTCTGTCTCATAAATATGCAAGATTTCAGGTACGTCTTGCTACTTCTACTTACACTTGGTCACACTACACATGTACAAGCATATATATATACATACCCCTCTGGGTTTTCTTCTATTTTCTTTCTAGTTCTTGTGTTTGTCTGTTTCCTCTTATCTCCATGGGGAAGTGGAACAGAATTCTTCCTCCGTAAGCCATGCGTGTCGTAAGAGGCGACTAAAATGCCGTGAGCAAGGGGCTAGTAACCCCTTCTGTATATATTACTAAATTTGAAAGGAGAAACTTTTGTTTTTCCTTTTGGGCCACCCCGCCTCGGTGGGATATAGCTGGTACGTTGAGAGAAAGAAAAGATTTAGAAAAAGGTTGGGAAGTTTTCATTGCATTTATGGATTTAGAAAAGGCATTTGATAGAGTGGATAGGGGAGCAATGTGGCTGATGTTGAAAGTGTATGGAATAGGTGGTAAGTTACTAAATGCTATAAAGAGTTATGAAGATAGTGAGGCTCAGGTTAGTGTGTGTAGAAGAGAGGGAGAATACTTCCCAGTAAAAGTAGGTAGTAGGTTGGTAGACAGCAACCACCCAGGGAAGTACTACCGTCCTGCCAGATGACTGTGAAACAGAAACCTGTAACTGTTTTGCATGATGGTAGGATTGCTGGTTTCTTTTTCTGTCTCATAAACACGCTAGATAACAGGGATATCTTGCTACTCCTACTTACACTTTGGTCACACTTCACAGACACGCACATGCATATATATATACATACATCTAGGTTTTTCTCCTTTTTCTAAATAGCTCTTGTTCTTCTTTATTTCTTCTATTGTCCATGGGGAAGTGGAAAAGAATCTTTCCTCCGTAAGCCATGCGTGTCGTATGAGGCGACTAAAATGCCGGGAGCAATGGGCTAGTAACCCCTTCTCCTGTAAACACTTACTAAAAAAGAGAAGAAGAAAAACTTTATAAAACTGGGATGCTTAAATGTGCGTGGATGTAGTGCGGATGACAAGAAACAGATGATTGCTGATGTTATGAATGAAAAGAAGTTGGATGTCCTGGCCCTAAGCGAAACAAAGCTGAAGGGGGTAGGAGAGTTTCAGTGGGGGGAAATAAATGGGATTAAATCTGGAGTATCTGAGAGAGTTAGAGCAAAGGAAGGGGTAGCAGTAATGTTAAATGATCAGTTATGGAAGGAGAAAAGAGAATATGAATGTGTAAATTCAAGAATTATGTGGATTAAAGTAAAGGTTGGATGCGAGAAGTGGGTCATAATAAGCGTGTATGCACCTGGAGAAGAGAGGAATGCAGAGGAGAGAGAGAGATTTTGGGAGATGTTAAGTGAATGTATAGGAGCCTTTGAACCAAGTGAGAGAGTAATTGTGGTAGGGGACCTGAATGCTAAAGTAGGAGAAACTTTTAGAGAGGGTGTGGTAGGTAAGTTTGGGGTGCCAGGTGTAAATGATAATGGGAGCCCTTTGATTGAACTTTGTATAGAAAGGGGTTTAGTTATAGGTAATACATATTTTAAGAAAAAGAGGATAAATAAGTATACAAGATATGATGTAGGGCGAAATGACAGTAGTTTGTTGGATTATGTATTGGTAGATAAAAGACTGTTGAGTAGACTTCAGGATGTACATGTTTATAGAGGGGCCACAGATATATCAGATCACTTTCTAGTTGTAGCTACACTGAGAGTAAAAGGTAGATGGGATACAAGGAGAATAGAAGCATCAGGGAAGAGAGAGGTGAAGGTTTATAAACAAAAAGAGGAGGCAGTTAGGGTAAGATATAAACAGCTATTGGAGGATAGATGGGCTAATGAGAGCATAGGCAATGGGGTCGAAGAGGTATGGGGTAGGTTTAAAAATGTAGTGTTAGAGTGTTCAGCAGAAGTTTGTGGTTACAGGAAAGTGGGTGCGGGAGGGAAGAGGAGCGATTGGTGGAATGATGATGTAAAGAGAGTAGTAAGGGAGAAAAAGTTAGCATATGAGAAGTTTTTACAAAGTAGAAGTGATGCAAGGAGGGAAGAGTATATGGAGAAAAAGAGAGAGGTTAAGAGAGTGGTGAAGCAATGTAAAAAGAGAGCAAATGAGAGAGTGGGTGAGATGTTATCAACAAATTTTGTTGAAAATAAGAAAAAGTTTTGGAGTGAGATTAACAAGTTAAGAAAGCCTAGAGAACAAATGGATTTGTCAGTTAAAAATAGGAGAGGAGAGTTATTAAATGGAGAGTTAGAGGTATTGGGAAGATGGAGGGAATATTTTGAGGAATTGTTAAATGTTGATGAAGATAGGGAAGCTGTGATTTCGTGTATAGGGCAAGGAGGAATAACATCTTGTAGGAGTGAGGAAGAGCCAGTTGTGAGTGTGGGGGAAGTTCGTGAGGCAGTAGGTAAAATGAAAGGGGGTAAGGCAGCCGGGATTGATGGGATAAAGATAGAAATGTTAAAAGCAGGTGGGGATATAGTTTTGGAGTGGTTGGTGCAATTATTTAATAAATATATGGAAGAGGGTAAGGTACCTAGGGATTGGCAGAGAGCATGCATAGTTCCTTTGTATAAAGGCAAAGGGGATAAAAGAGAGTGCAAAAATTATAGGGGGATAAGTCTGCTGAGTATACCTGGTAAAGTGTATGGTAGAGTTATTATTGAAAGAATTAAGAGTAAGACGGAGAATAGGATAGCAGATGAACAAGGAGGCTTTAGGAAAGGTAGGGGGTGTGTGGACCAGGTGTTTACAGTGAAATATATAAGTGAACAGTATTTAGATAAGGCTAAAGAGGTCTTTGTGGCATTTATGGATTTGGAAAAGGCGTATGACAGGGTGGATAGGGGGGCAATGTGGCAGATGTTGCAAGTATATGGTGTAGGAGGTAGGTTACTGAAAGCAGTGAAGAGTTTTTACGAGGATAGTGAGGCTCAAGTTAGAGTATGTAGGAAAGAGGGAAATTATTTCCCAGTAAAAGTAGGCCTTAGACAAGGATGTGTGATGTCACCGTGGTTGTTTAATATATTTATAGATGGGGTTGTAAGAGAAGTAAATGCGAGGGTCTTGACAAGAGGCGTGGAGTTAAAAGATAAAGAATCACACACAAAGTGGGAGTTGTCACAGCTGCTCTTTGCTGATGACACTGTGCTCTTGGGAGATTCTGAAGAGAAGTTGCAGAGATTGGTGGATGAATTTGGTAGGGTGTGCAAAAGAAGAAAATTAAAGGTGAATACTGGAAAGAGTAAGGTTATGAGGATAGCAAAAAGATTAGGTGATGAAAGATTGAATATCAGATTGGAGGGAGAGAGTATGGAGGAGGTGAATGTATTCAGATATTTGGGAGTGGACGTGTCAGCGGATGGGTCTATGAAAGATGAGGTGAATCATAGAATTGATGAGGGAAAAAGAGTGAGTGGTGCACTTAGGAGTCTGTGGAGACAAAGAACTTTGTCCTTGGAGGCAAAGAGGGGAATGTATGAGAGTATAGTTTTACCAACGCTTTTATATGGGTGTGAAGCATGGGTGATGAATGTTGCAGCGAGGAGAAGGCTGGAGGCAGTGGAGATGTCATGTCTGAGGGCAATGTGTGGCGTGAATATAATGCAGAGAATTCGTAGTTTGGAAGTTAGGAGGAGGTGCGGGATTACCAAAACTGTTGTCCAGAGGGCTGAGGAAGGGTTGTTGAGGTGGTTCGGACATGTAGAGAGAATGGAGCGAAACAGAATGACTTCAAGAGTGTATCAGTCTGTAGTGGAAGGAAGGCGGGGTAGGGGTCGGCCTAGGAAAGGTTGGAGAGAGGGGGTAAAGGAGGTTTTGTGTGCGAGGGGCTTGGACTTCCAGCAGGTATGCATGAGCGTGTTTGATAGGAGTGAATGGAGACAAATGGTTTTTAATACTTGACGTGCTGTTGGAGTGTGAGCAAAGTAACATTTATGAAGGGGTTCAGGGAAACCGGCAGGCCGGACTTGAGTCCTGGAGATGGGAAGTACAGTGCCTGCACTCTGAAGGAGGGGTGTTAATGTTGCAGTTTAAAAACTGTAGTGTAAAGCACCCTTCTGGCAAGACAGTGATGGAGTGAATGATGGTGAAAGTTTTTCTTTTTCGGGCCACCTTGCCTTGGTGGGAATCGGCCAGTGTGATAATAATAAAAAAAAAAAAAAGTAGGTCTTAGACAGGGATGTGTAATGTCACCATGGTTGCTTAATATATTTATAAATGGGGTTGTAAAAGAAGTAAATGCTAGGGTGTTGGGGAGAGGGGTGGGATTAAATTATGGGGAATCAAATACAAAATGGGAGTTGACACAATTACTTCTTGCTGATGATACTGTGCTCTTGGAAGATGATGCTCTTGCTGATGATACTGTGTTCTTGGAAGTTCCAAAGGTTAGTGGATGAGTTTTGGAGAGTGTATAAAGGTGGAAAGTTGAAAGTGAACATATAAAAAAGTAAGGTGATGAGGGTATCAAACGATTTCAATAAAGAAAAAATGATACCACATTGAAGAGAGGAAGTGAGGAAGAAGTGAATGTTTTCAGATATTTGGGAGTTGATTTGTCAGTGGATGGATTTATGAAAGATGAGGTTAACCATAGAATTGATGACGGAAAAAAGGCGAGTGGTGCGTTGAGGTATCTGTGGAGACAAAAAAAACGTTGTTCATGGAGGCAAAGAAAGGAATGTACGAAAGTATAGTGGTACCAACACTCTCATTTGGGTGTGAAGCTTGGGTTGTAAATGCTGCGGCAAGGAAGCAATTGGAGGCAGTGCAGATGTCGTGTCTAAGGGCACTGTGTGGTGTAAATATTATGCAGAGAATTTGGAGTGTGGAAATTGGGAGGAGGTGTGAAGTTAATAAAATATTAGTCAGAGGGCTGAAGAGGGGTTGTTGAGGTGGTTTGGTCATTTAGAGAGAATGGATCAAAGTAGAATGACTTGGAGAGCATATAAATCTGTAAGGGAAGGAACGTGGTGTAGGGGTCGTCCTCAAAAAGGTTGGAGGGAGGGGGTAAAGGAGGTTTTGTGGGTGAGGGGCTTGGACTTCCAGTAAGCATTCATGAGCATGTTAGATAAGAGTGAATGGAGACGAATTGTTGTAGGACCTAACAAGCTGTTGGAGTGTGAGCTGGGTAATATTTTGTGAAGGGATTCGTGGAAACTGGTTAGCCGGACGTGAGTCCTGGAAGTGGGAAGTACAATGCCTGCACTTTAAATAGGGGTTTGGGATATTGGCAGTATGGAGGGACTTGTAAACTGTTGTATCTGAGCATCTCTGCAAAGACAGTGATTGTTTGAGTGATGGTGAAAGTGGTGAATGATGATGAAAGTATTTTTCTTTCTTTTTGGGTCACCCAGCCTCGGTGGGAAACGGCCAATGTGTTAAAAAAAAATATTCACTTAAACATTCAAGATTGGAGGGAGAGAGTATGGAGGAGGTGAAAGTATTCAGATTGGATATCAGATTGGAGGGAGAGAGTATGGAGGAGGTGAATGTATTCAGATACTTGGGAGTGGACATGTCAGCGGATGGGTCTATGAAAGATGAGGTGAATCGTAGAATTGATGAGGGGAAAAGGGTGAGTGGTGCACTTAGGAGTCTGTGGAGACAAAGAACTTTGTCCTTGGAGGCAAAGAGGGGAATGTATGAGAGTATAGTTTTACCAACGCTCTTATATGGGTGTGAAGCATGGGTGATGAATGTTGCAGTGAGGAGAAGGCTGGAGGCAGTGGAGATGTCATGTCTGAGGGCAATGTGTGGTGTGAATATAATGCAGAGAATTCGTAGTTTGGAAGTTAGGAGGAGGTGCGGGATTACCAAAACTGTTGTCCAGAGGGCTGAGGAAGGGTTGTTGAGGTGGTTCGGACATGTAGAGAGAATGGGGCGAAACAGAGTATCTTCAAGAGTGTATCAGTCTGTAGTGGAAGGAAGGAGGGGTAGGGGTCGGCCTAGGAAAGGTTGGAGGGAGTGGGTAAAGGAGGTTTTGTGTGCGAGGGGCTTGGACTTCCAGCAGGCATGCGTGAGTGTGTTTGATAGGAGTGAATGGAGACAAATGGTTTTTAATACTTGATGTGCTGTTGGAGTGTGAGCAAAGTAACATTTATGAAGGGATTCAGGGAAACTGGCAGGCCGGACTTGAGTCCTGGAGATGGGAAGTACAGTGCCTGCACTCTGAAGGAGGGGTGTTAATGTTGCAGTTTAAAAACTGTAGTGTAAAGCACCCTTCTGGCAAGACAGTGATGGAGTGAATGATGGTGAAAGTTTTTCTTTTTCGGGCCACCTTGCCTTGGTGGGAATCGGCCAGTGTGATAATAAAAAATAATAAAAAACATTCAAGATTTCAGGTATGTCATTGTACTTCAACGTACACATAGGTCTCACTTAAACATGCATATATAAGCATATATATACACACACCCCTCTGGGTTTTCTTCTGTTGTCTTACTAGTTCTCGTTCTTATTTATTTCCTCTTATCTCCATTGGGAAGTGGAACGGAACAGAATTCTTCCTCTGTAAGCTATGCATATCGTAAGAGGCGACTAATATGCTGATATGCTGGGGGCCAAGGGGCTAGTAGCCCCTTCTCCTGTATGCATTACTAAAGTTAAATAGAAACTTTTGTTTTTCTTTTTGGGCCACCCTGCTTTGGTTGGATATGGCCACTTTGTTGAAAGAATAAGATATGCACTTAATTTTTATATTCAGATTATTCATGAATAGATTCTTAATGCAGTAGTTCTCTTGGTATTAACTTTCATATTGTAATGTGGATGGTTTCTTGAAGTATGACTAATGTTCACCAACATAATTGCACTACACACTACTAGCTTGTCTAGTATTCCAAATATCTCTGTGAAAATAGAGAAGTCTACACCATTCCTAAACTTGATAATTAGTTTCCAAACATATTTTGTTCTCCCATTAGAGGCTGAAGTGAAGAGTTTCAGTTCAGGCAGCTCACAGCCAGCATCTTGGGCAGGATGGGCTGTAGGTGCTATCACGTCTAAATTCTACAAGAGTTCTCTAAGTGCAAACTCTCTGCCGCAGCAACAGCAGAAGCAACAGCCGAAAGTATGATACTTTTTCATTTTAAAATTATTACAATAGTTATGCTAGTTAAAGATTCTCATTACTGTGGTTTTCAGGTGTAAACAACTACCCCAGTAATATAGATTTCAGTAATATCCTAATCATTCATTAGCCATTTATTTATTTTCTTTAATTTGCTTTTTAGATTCATTTGATATATTTGTATTTCTAAAAATAGCAATAAATATCTGTAACACTATTTCAGTCACATGAGCTGTTATGTACAAGTCACTGAGAAGATGCATGTTTTTCCTCCAGCTGTCCACATCATCCAGCACTGAGACACCCTCTACCAAGTCCAGCAGCCTGGCTACCACTCCTTCCCAAGATCTTAGCAGAGCCTCCAGCAGAACTGCAACTAAAGCATCTAATGATGATGATGAGTCTGATTACGAAGACTGGGAGACGTCGAAATGGAAGTCTGGGGTAATTTCAATGATGTAATAGATTGTCTCATAGTTTTTATGCCTATTTGTGTATCTTTATACGTATATGCTTCTAAACTGTTGTATTCTGAGCACCTCTGCAAAAACAGTGATAATGTGTGAGTGTGGTGAAAGTGTTGAATAATGATGAAAGTATTTTCTTTTTGGGGATTTTCTTTCTTTTTTGGGTCACCCTGCCTCGGTGGGAGACAGCCGACTTGTTGAAAAAAAAAAAAATTATATTTTCAAATTTATGGCTAAGAATAGTAACTTCAGAGTACTATCAATGATGGCTCGTAGCTAAATTAGTGGAGGTGCTGCTTCAGAAAATTTTTAGCCATTGTTTTAATAGTGTAAAACAAAACAAAACAAAAGCATATATACTTCTTGTTGTTGCTTATTCCTGGCTGACATATTTGAATATTGGGTGTTGAACAGCCTCTTTTCGTAACTGTAACTTTCTCATGGAGAGACAACTGTGAAAACTTAAGCTGTTGAAATTCACTTACAGTCACAGAACTTATTTCTTGGGGATGCACTTTATCACATTCAAGAATATGGTACATGGTTTTTAAGCACAAGTGCCGCTGAGTCAGAAAGAAACACCACACTTGCACAAACAGGGTCGGCACTGCGTCAGTGACGCTGCTGTCTCTACTTAGCGTGTAGCATCTTATCTCGGACATGTGTGCATGCGCACAACAGCCAAACACTGAGTTGCTGGAACTGTGAAGCGCACAGTTCCATACAAGGATTTTTGTAATTTTTTCATGTACTAGGGGATGGCTACTGACATTAAGCTTAAGGATTATATAATGTACAAGTATAAAGAAAGAGTTAAAGATAAAATGACTTATTATATTGAATGTTATCAATAATATCGAGTGAAAATAGGGGAGGCTGCAGTTCCGCAGGGCCTGTACACAAGCCGCTCAAAAGTCGAACAGTTATGTAAGTGTATTTATGTAAGTGCTTTTGTAAGTGTATTTTTGGGAATCTGAAACAGATTAATCTAATTTACGTTATTCCCTATAAGAACAGATTTGTTTGGTATCAGCACTAGAACAGCCTTGTGGAACAAATTAAGTTCATATCCCTAGGTACCACTGTACTGTCTCGGAATCCATAAGGGATGTGTTCAACAAGATGGTTGTGGATGATGAATTTGTGGATATGGACAGCGCTGTATAGCCCTTGTGGCTTAGCACATTTTTTTTATTATAATAATAATGTGGATATGGAACTTACCTTTAACTTTTGTGCTCTTTTAATCAGCCTTAGTACAAATAGGTCTGTTAACAGATGTATAATATATACCTGAGGAGATTTTATTGCATACACAAGTTGCAGAGTAGTGAGACAAGCTTGAGGATAAAGTAAACTAATCATGGTTTTTGTTGCACATGAAGTGGCTCTTCAGACGTGAGTGCCAGGTAAAACAACATAAGACTAAACAGTATGAAATAATAAATATTTTTCTGTGTTGAAAAAATGCTAAAGCAGCATGAAAATATAATGATAATTGCTCCATTGGTACATATTGCTGCTTCCAAGAGATTTTGCACTTGGAAAGGAATTCTTATCAGCAAAGAGTTTGGTTCTTAATTCCTGTTAAGTTAATTTGATAGTCACAGAACCTGTGAAATAATGAGACAGCTCAGCAGATTGCATTCATCTAGTCACAGAACCTGTGAAATAATGAGACAGCTCAGCAGATTGCATTCATCTAGACCTTTAAGATGGTTTTTGACAGAGTTCCTCACAAGAGATCAATATGGAAACAAAACATAAAAGGCACAAAAGGCAAACTGTTACTTTCATTAAGTAATTTTCTGTTTGAAAGGAAAATGGTTAAAATAATGAATTAGCAAGTCTCCATTACTGGTAGTAGGTTGGTAGACAGCAACTACCCAGGGAGGTACTACCATCCTTTGGTAGTAGGTTGGTAGACAACCACCCAGGGAGGTACTACCATCTTGTGGTAGTAGGTTGGTAGACAGCAACCACCCAGGGAGGTACTACCATCCTGTGGTAGTAGGTTGGTAGACAACAACCACCCAGGGAGGTACTACCATCCTGTCGTAGTAGGTTGGTAGACAATAACCACCCAGGGAGGTACTACCATCCTGTGGTAGTAGGTTGGTAGACAACAACCACCCAGGGAGGTACTACCATCGTGTGGTAGTAGGTTGGTAGACAACAACCACCCAGGGAGGTACTACCATCCTGTGGTAGTAGGTTGGTAGACAACAACCACCCAGGGAGGTACTACCATCCTGTGGTTGTAGGTTGGTAGACAACAACCACCCAGGGAGGTACTACCATCCTGTGGTAGTAGGTTGGTAGACACCAACCACCCAGGGAGGTACTACCATCCTGTGGCAGTAGGTTGGTAGACAACAACCACCCAGGGAGGTACTACCATCCTGTGGTTGTAGGATGGTAGACAACAACCACCCAGGGAGGTACTACCATCCTGTGGTAGTAGGTTGGTAGACAACAACCACCCAGGGAGGTACTACCATCCTGTGGTAGTAGGTTGGATGACAACCACCCAGGGAGGTACTACCATCCTGTGGTAGTAGGTTGGTAGACAACAACCACCCAGGGAGGTACTACCATCCTGTGGTAGTAGGTTGGTAGACAGCAACCACCCAGGGAGGTACTACCATCCTGTGGTAGTAGGTTGGTAGACAACAACCACCCAGGGAGGTACTACCATCCTGTGGTAGTAGGTTGGTAAACAGCAACCACCCAGGGAGGTACTACCATCCTGTGGTAGTAGGTTGGTAGACAACAACCACCCAGGGAGGTGGTAGTAGGTTGGTAGACAGCAACCACCCAGGGAGGTACTACCATCCTGTGGTAGTAGGTTGGTAGACAGCAACCACCCAGGGAGGTACTACCATCCCATGGTAGTTGGTTGGTAGACAACAACCACCCAGGGAGGTACTACCATCCTGTGGTAGTAGGTTGGTAGACAACAACCACCCAGGGAGGTACTACCATCCTGTGGTAGTAGGTTGGTAGACAGGAACCACCCAGGGAGGTAGTACCATCCTGTGGTAGTAGGTTGGTAGACAACAACCACCCAGGGAGGTACTACCATCCTGTGGTAGTAGGTTGGTAGACAACAACCACCCAGGGAGGTACTACCATCCTGTGGTAGTAGGTTGGTAGACAGCAACCATGTTGTAGTAGGTTGGTAGACAACAACCACCCAGGGAGGTATTACCATCCTGTGGTAGTAGGTTGGTAGACAGCAACCACCCAGGGAGGTACTACCATCCTGTGGTAGTAGGTTCGTAGACAACAACCACCCAGGGAGGTACTACCATCCTGTGGTAGTAGGTTGGTAGACAGGAACCACCCAGGGAGGTACTACCATCCTGTGGTAGTAGGTTGGTAGGCAGGAACCACCCAGAGAGGTACTACTGTCCTGTGGTAGTAGATGGGTAGACAGCAACCACCAAGGGAGGTACTACCGTCCTGTGGTAGTAGGTTCGTAGACAGCAACCACCCAGGGAGGTACTACTGTCCTGTGGTAGTAGGTTGGTATACAGGAACCACCCAGGGAGGTACTACCGTCCTGCCAAATGAATGTAAAATGAAAGCCTGTAATTCTTTTAAATGATGATAGGATTACTGGTGTCTCTTTTTCTCTCTCATAAACATGCGAGATTTCAGGTATGTCTTGTTACTTCTACTTACACTTTGGTCACACTACACATACATTTTTTTCAACGAACCAGCTGTATCCCACCAAGGCAGGGTGGCCCAAAAAGAAAAACGGAAGTTTCTCTTTTTAAATTTAGTAATTTATCCGGGAGAAGGGGTTACTAGCCCCTTGCTCTCGGCATTTTAGTCACCTCTTACAACACGCATGGCTTACGGAGGAAGAATTCTGTTCCACTTCCCCATGGAGATTAGAGGAAATAAACAAGAACAAGAACTAGAAAGAAAATAGAAGAAAACGCAGAGGGGTGTGTATATATATATGCTTGTACATGTATGTGTAGTGTGACCTAAGTGTAAGTAGAAGTAGCAAGACGTACCTGAAATCTTGCATGTTTGAGACAGAAAAAAGACACCAGCAATCCTACCATCATGTAAAACAATTACAGGCTTTCATTTTACACTCGCTTGGCAGGACGGTAGTACAGTGGACCCCCGGTTCGCGATACTAGTCCGTTCCTAAGAGCTCATCGTAAACCAAAAATATCGGAAAGCGAATCAATTTTCCCCATAAGAAATAATGGAAATCAAATTAATCCGTGCAAGACACCCAAAAGTATGAAAAAAAAAAGCTTTTACCACATAAAATATTAAGTTTAATGCAATAGAATAGTAATTACAATAACAACAATAACAATAAATAACAATAAATAACAAAAGAATAATTGACACTTACCTTTAATGAAGATCTGGTGATGATTGATGGGATGGGAGGAGGGGAGAGTGGATGGTGTTAGCATTTAGAAGGGGAATCCCCTTCCATTAGGACTTGAGGTAGCAAGTCCTTTTCTGGGGTTACTTCCCTTCTTCTTTTAATGCCACTAGGATCAGGTTGAGAGTCACTGGACTTCTGTCGCACAACATAACTGGCAGCCTCACCATGTCTAATCACACTATATATACCACTACTATTCTTAAATCTTTCAAACCAACCTTTGCTGGCCTTAAATTCACTCACATCACCACTAGTGGCAGGCAATTTTTTTACCAAATCGTCATGCAACTGCCTAGCCTTTTCACAAATGATTGCTTGAGAGATGCTATCTCCTGCTATCTGTTTTTCATTTATCCACACCAATAACAGTCTCTCAACATTTTATAACACTTGCGGTCGCTGTTTCGCACCTTTTGCAAGAACAGCTTCCTTGATTGCCGTTTTCTTGCTCACTTTAATAGAGATGGTTGATTGGGGTTTACTATACAACCTGACCAGCTCCGACACATGCACTCCACTTTCGTACTTTGCAATTATCTCTTTCTTCATTTCAACGGTCATTAGCACCCTTCGTCTCGAAGGGTTGGCACTGGGAGCTTTCTTGGGGCCCATGGTGACTTATTTTGCAAAAACAGGCACCAAAAACAGTGATAATATGGATAATATGGAATGTACCGAATGTATCCTTAGATGCGCGCACACTGGCTGGCTTGTAAACACTGGCACACATGGGGCAGCTCAGGCCACACATGGACACGTCTCGTACGAACCACATCGCATACCGGGTTTTGTATCGGGAAGCGAGGCAAATTTTCTGTGATATAATGCATCGGTTACCGGATTTATCGGATACCGATAGCATAGCGAACCGGGGTTCCACTGTACCTCCCTGGGCGGCTGCTGTCTACCAACCTACTACCTAGGAAGTAATGAAATTCTCTGATAAAATTATGCTACAGATCAACATACTTTAAGCTGTATTCCTTCTTAAAATTTGAGCATTGAAATCACAATTTTTGTCAGTCACATGTGCAATCTCCCAACAGTAAGAGACACATGGTAGGACAAGCTTTAATTAGGACTTACGACTCTGCTAGAGCTTTAGCAACATGAAACTTTGGCCCATAAAAGTGCATGTTGCATTGTGTATTTTTTCTTTTAACCTTGTTTTTCAGAATGATTCTCCAGAGGTGAAGAAGAACAGTGCTGTTGATAAGTGTGTTACAGTCTCTCACACTTTGGCTGCTGCTGAGGATGACATAGTTGGTGCAGATGGATGGGAGGAGGAGGAAGCTTGGGGAAGTTTAGAAGATGGGGTGAGGAGAACAACATTATCATTTCAAGCTTTGCATGCAAGCTTTTTATTTTGTGTATTGTTTTCCTTTTTTGGATGGTTCGCTTAAAAATTTGGTCTACCTTGGCTTCCTTCAAATACATCAAACAAGTGTCTGCCTTCCTTCATACACACTGAACAAATACACCTGTCATTTACAAATACTTATAAAGTTGCCACATATGAACTAACTCTATGGACTTTAATATTCAGATTTAATGCCACTCTGTGAGCAGTTACATAGATCACTATTATTTGCATGTTCCAATAGTTTTCTATGTATCTTTGTTGTATAGCTTTTACCACAGATCTTATGAGTGCTATGTTTGTTACTATTGCTAATACTGTTGAGTGATCCCTCAGCTCAAAGCACTTTTCAAATTACAAACCTTTTTTCACATATCAAATCAATCAAATCAAATTAAATTTTATTTCTTTGTTAAGGTTACAATATGTGTTTACATTTCATAACTTGATTGATACAAAGAAAGCCACTATTATGCCGAGGCATTTCGGGCAGACTTAACCTAATACTTAAAGACTTCTTAAGTCTAGAAAGGTGAAGAGTGATAAATTACAAATGTTGGTTAGAGTTTAGCATAGTGTGTGTATGGGTGTTATTGAGTGAGAGACGAGATAATTTTTGAGTATAGTCCTAAATTGATTAGTGGGCAGGGGACCTCTTTCTGTTTCAGGCAAAGAGTTCCAGATCTTTGGGCCCTTTATGTGCATTGCATTTTTGGATTTCTAGACACACAGAGGGCAAATTTCTAGGTCTCCACCTAGACTGCACTCTCAAATTCCAAATGCACATACAGCAAATATCCAAGAAAGTCTCCAAAACAGTAGGCATCCTCTCAAAGATATGGTACTATGAACCCCGATCAGCTCTTCTTGCACTATACCACTCACTCATCTATCCTTACCTCACCTATGATATTTGTGCATGGGGCTAAACCACTGCAAATCACCTTAACCCTTTCAGGGTCCGTGCCGTAGTTCTACTGCTTTGAGTTAATGGTCCAAACCGTAGATCTACGCCATGAGCTCAGCTCACTCTGATAAGCTGTGAGCGGCATATTTGGGCCTAGATATGAGAGAATACATCTATGTGGTATGTGTGCATGACATAAAACAAATCCTGCAGCACACAGTGCATAATGAGAGAAAAAACTAAAACCGTAATTTTTGATTAAAACACCGAATTTGTAGTGTTTTTTCGTATGTTTTTTATAGTTGTATTTGCGATTTCCTGGTCTCATTTGATAGAATGGAAGATATATTACAGAAATAGAGATGATTTTGATTGGTTTTAGTGCTGGAAATGGCTTGAAACTGAGCTCAAAGTAGCAGAATTGTTAAATTTTTGCTGGTGTTCAAGAGTAAACAAATGACCTCACACATCAAATACATGCCAGCTGGTGGGTCTAATATACATTCACAAATGTGATGATATTATTTATAGTTATTGCAATATTGCATAACAGTAAATATTCTATTTTTTGGTTTGAATAAAAATTCTTTATGTGAATAAAAAATCAAAATGGAATTCAGTTGTAAAGTCTGAAAACATAACTAATGAACAGAGGAAATGTAGTTTAGTGCCAGGAATGCCTGCATTGTTTATTCTGGACCCTATTTTAAAACTGGAATATTTTGAACTCTGTTTTAAATTGGCCAAATTACCAATTTCCAATCACTTTATTTTGTAGTTGGAACAGTTGACTTGGAGATTTCTTGTGCTCAGTCGATAGAATAGAAGTAGTACTAGTGAAACAGCTAAGAATTTGGTCGACTGGAATAATGTAATTGGCCTAAAATGGAAGTCAAAGTCGACAAAATCGCTGATGCGTAAATATTGCTGACACATCAAAATTCGCAAGAGCATAATTTCGTCAATTTTCAATCAAATTTTGTACTTTTTGTTTTATTACCTTCAGAAAACGATTCTTTACCATTTCATAAGAAAAAAATAACAAAATTTTTTTTTTTTAAATTCTTGGACCCTGGTGCACACCTTGAAATTTGGCCTCTGGACCCTGAAAGGGTTAAGCTTTTAATATCCCAACAAAAAACAGCAGTGCAATTGATAACAAACTCCTGTAATTGACAGCATACTCCTCCGCTTTTCGAGAGTCTTAACTTATTATACAAAACATCCACACTTATTATTGTACCTACTACATGCACAGAACACAACACTCAAATATAAACCCTCCTCTCAAACTTCTACTTGCTAACTACAACAGAACACACAACCATAATACAAGACACAAATCACTTTTCGATATCCCTTGTGTCTCTCTCTCCCTCTGCAGAAATGCTATGCACGTAAAGGGCCCGAAGATCTGGAATTTATTACCAGAACACACTAAAGGACCCCTGCCTGCAAATCAATTTAAGGCCATACTTAGAGATCTCCTCATCACCCAAAATTAACCAGACAAGCCGTACTTAATACCAACCATTTACTCAAAAGCAACACAAAAAAGTACCAATGATGTCTGTTTCAATACTGAATATTGTGCTTTAGATTGCTCAACCATGGACTCATTACTTCAAAATCAGGATATTCAAGTTTCATTGTCTTGAATACTAAATTGTAATACTTCATATTGTAAATTGTTTAAATTGTTCTATTGTAAAACTGTAATGCTTCAAAAAAACCATACCCCCGGCCGGGATTGAACCCGCGGTCATAGAGTCTCAAAACTCCAGCCCGTCGCGCTAGCCACTAGACCAGCTAGCCACAATAAGATTCATCCAACTAGGTATATTTCTACACCATAGGAAAGTTAGCACAGGCACCTCTGTGACCACAAATGCAAGTTTTTACAGACGAATCTCCAGCTAGCGTGGCCGTGACGAACTCTAGCTCAAGTCCCTTCACTGCCGTCAACATGACTTAAGTCATGTTGACGGCAGTGAAGGGACTTGAGCTAGAGTTCGTCACGGCCACGCTAGCTGGAGATTCGTCTGTAAAAACTTGCATTTGTGGTCACAGAGGTGCCTGTGCTAACTTTCCTATGGTGTAGAAATATACCTAGTTGGATGAATCTTATTGTGGCTAGCTGGTCTAGTGGCTAGCGCGACGGGCTGGAGTTTTGAGACTCTATGACCGCGGGTTCAATCCCGGCCGGGGGTATGGTTTATTTGCATTCGTGTCATTACGATTTCTTAAGTCATGTAATGCTTCAAAATTGTAATATTCATATTTTAAATACGTACTCAATTGTACTTCATATTGTAAATTGTTTGAGTTGTTTTATTGTAATACTGTAGTTTTTATAAAATAATTCAAAAGTGTAATTATTCACTACTAAACTTCTCTACTAAACCTAATGAAGCCATATAGCATTACCTATTAATACCGGTCCGCATCTCTTTATCCAAAATTCTGAAATTTGAAAAGTTCCAAAAATCGAAGCTTTTTCATGGAGTGTGGAGGATCAGTCATCTCTGTGCTGGGTTACGGTTACGCCACCATGTGGCAGCGTTGAGTATCATTCTGAAATTCGAAAAGGTCTAAAATTCGAAGTAACACAGGTCCCAAGAGTTTCGGATAAAGGAATGTGCACCTGTACTCAATTCTCTTGTACTTACTGTAACTCACCTAATGACCATTTAATCTGTTATAGCCTAATTAATATTACGTTAATTTTAAGTTTGCTCGAAATGCTCTGCATACAAGGGGCTTTTGGCATGTGCACTCAGCTATGTATTATATTCCTTTGTACAACTATGTATCATGTCAAAATAAAATATTATTATTATTATAGTGTGAAACTGACATGAGGGATGTCAAAAAGTACATATATTGTGCCTTGTGTTATGCCTGTTTGTTCTGTTGAAGCTCTCTATAAGTTTGAGTGGAGGGTTCTGAATATACTGTAGTAGACACAATAATAGGTGTGCATATTTTATATATTAAGTACAGTGGAACCCCGATATTCGTCCAGTTCGGTTATCAGTTTTCGACCACTTTTCGGCAAAATTTTCCCCATTTTTGTACATTCGCTCGGAAATCGTCCATACCAGATGCGTCCATTTGCCCGTGGGACGCGACTGCTCATGCGTTCGTGATTCAGTCTGGCTTTGTTACTTGTTCAGCGAGGAAGAGAGAGGGGAGAATGTGCCTTCTTCAGCAATTAATGATATTTGTGCAAAGTGGAGTGAGGTGCAAAGTTTTGTGGAGAAATATCATCCTAACAAAGCTGTTGCAAGCCGTGTCAGCAACATGTTCATTGACAATGTCATGTCCCATTTTAGGCAAATCTTAAATGTTAAATGTTCATTTATCCATTTCATTAGTCATTTATATTTATTTCTCATTTTTTCTGTATGTAAAACTATAGTTATTCTCTCTAAAATGTATTTTTTGTTAATATTTTTGGGTGTCTGGAATGGATTAATTGGATCTACATTATTTCTTAGGGGAAATATCACTTCAGTTTTCATACAAATCGGTTTTTGGCTGACCTTCTGGAATGGATTAACCCTTTGAGGGCTTCGGCCGTACTAGTACGGCTTACGACCCAGGGTTTTTGACGTACTAGTACGTCTAAATTCTAGCGCCCTCAAATCTAGTGGGAGAAAGCTTGTAGGCATACATATGAAAGAATGGGTCTATGTGGTTATAGTGTACAGTATAAAAAAAATCCTGCAGCACACAGTGCGTAATGAGAAAAAAAAAAACTTTGACAGTGTTTTTGGAATAAAACAGCAACTTTGCACTGTATTTTCGTATGGTATTTATTGTTGTATTCTAGTTTTCTTGGTTTCATTTTATAGAATGGAAGACACATTACAGAAATTGAGATGATTTTGACTGGTTTTACAATGAAAAGTACCTTGAAATTGAACTCAAAGTAGCAGAAATGTTCGATTTTTACCAAAGTTCAAAAGTAAACAAATCATGCCAAGCATCCAATACACGTCAACTGGTGAGTCTAATATTCTTTCACAAGTGCGCTGATATTATTTATACCATTTCTACACTAATGCAGCAGTCTGCATAACAGTAAATCTTCTATTTTTTTGTAAGAATAAAAATTGAAAGTGGAAAGCCAAAGAAATATAAGAGGGGCCTGGGGATGTGACTAACGAACAGTGGAAATGTTGTTTTAGTGCCAGGACTGTCTTTCTTGTTTATTCTGGGCCCTATTTGGAAATTGGAATTATTTGAAATTTGTGTGAAATTGGCAAAATTGCTAAATTCTGACCACTGTATTGGATAGTTGAAATCAGTAAATGGGTGGTTTCTTGTACTCATTCAATAGAAAAAATGGAGTTCTAGAGAAATAGTTATGATTTTTGTCGACTAGTACACTGGAATTGGCCAAAAATAGAGCTCAAAGTGGGCAAAATCGCCGATTCGTAAACATCGTTGAGACCGCTAACTTTGCAAGAGCATAATTCCGTAAGTTTTCCATCAAATTTCATACTTTTGGCGTCATTATGATCGGGAAAAGATTCTCTATCTTTTCATAAGAAATTTTTTTTTTTTTTTTTTTTAATTTGGCCGACCCTGAGAACAAGTCTCGGAGAGGGCCTGTCGACCCTCAAAGGGTTAAAGACGAAAACTGGGGTTCCACTGTAGGCTTGAGCTTTTGAAGAGTGGTGAAGTGTGTTGTCTGGCACAGGAGTTTGTGATCATTTGCACCACAGCTTTTTGTTGGGGTATTAAAGGTTTGAGATGATTGGCCGTGGTAGATTCCCAAGCACAAATGCCATAGGTGAAGTAAGGGTGTATTAGAGAGTGATATAAAGTGAGGAGTGCCCTTTGGGGGTACATAGTATCGTATCTTGGAAAGGATACCTACTGTTTTGGAAACTCTTAGCTATATGCTGGATGTGGGTCTGAAATTTTAGATTACAGTCTAGGTGGAGACCTAGAAATTTACCCTCAGTGTGCCTTGTAATGGGTAAACCATTTATCGATATGTTTAGCTGAATATTTAATGCTCTGTTTCCAAAAAGCTCGAAGTTGGTTTATCTGTATTGAGAGTAAGTTTGTTGGTTATGATCCAGTTTGATATTTTATGTAGTTTGCTGTTTACAGTGTCACCAGATATAGCCGGGTTTTGGTGGGAAAAGGTGTAAGTGGTGTCATCTGCGAATAGAACTGGTTTAAGGAGCCGTGATGTAAATAAGGAAGAGTAGAGGGCCTAGGACACTTCCCTGTCGCACTCCAACAACTACAGGCAGTGTTTTGGAGGTCATGCCATTTGTGTATACATACTGGTGTCTACCACTATGGAAAGATTTTAGGTAATTGTGCGTGTGTCCTCTGACCCTGTAATGCTCTAGTTTTAGGTGCAAAATATTGTGGCCTACTGTATCAAATGCTTTCCGTAGGTCTACGAAGAGCCCCAGAGGATATTCATTTTTTCAAGTGCTGTATATAGTAATTCGAGCATCAGAATTGTTGCATCATTCTTGATTTTTTTGGCCTAAACCCAAACTGGCAGGGGTTTAGTATGTTATTGGATAGGTAGGAGTAGATTTGTACATGTATTTATTATTTTTTTGAAGATTTTAGAGAGTAAAGGCAAGTTAGATATTGGTCTGCAGTTATTTAGTTCTGTAGAATTGCCTTCTTTGAGGATCAGGGTGACCCTTGTTGTCTTGAGTATGGATGAGAATGTTGAAGATTCAACAGATTTGTTAAATAGTGTTGCAGTAATGGGGGACAGCATATGAGCTGCTTTTTTATACATAATTGGTGGCAAGTTATTTAGGTCTCCTGCCTTGATTTTTATTGATTTAATTATTAGTGAGACTTAAGTAGGATTTGTTGGTGCTATATATGGAGTATGTGGGTAATTACCACTGATGTAGTCTTGTGGCAGAGTATTTGCATTTGGGATTTTGCTTTCTAGTTTTGATTCTACAGTAGGAAAAGAAGGACAGTAAGATTGTTGGCTGTGTCTGTAGGCTTTATGTGTGCTTTGTCTGGTTTAGCTAAGTTAATCTCTCTGTTTCTAGACAGTTTTCTCAAGCCCAAAATCTCAGAGAGTTTTCCATGTCTTTTTCATATCACCTTTTATTTCATTAAAGCTGTTTACATAATACATTTGTTTGGACTTCTGTATTAGATTAGTAAGTATTGAGGTGTTCATTTGTAGTCATTGTCCTGTCAGAGTGTTGCAGTGACTTGTCACATTCAGTATGATGTGCTGTCACATCTTAGTGACTGACATTTCAACTATATGTGGCTGTCACATCCTCCTGGTAACTTATTTGCATTGTATTGTTTGGTGTGTGTCAGGTTTGGTAGTCTTGTTAGGAGGAGTAGTTTAGCCAGCATCTCGAGAGTCATAGTGCTTAATACCCTTTTATCTCATAACAGCTTACCTTGCTGACCTGAGGACTACTGAGACTTTTCATGTCTCTAGTCATCCCGTATCGTTGCACAGTGCACATGGTCCCATAGCACAGTTAAGTTTGTGCATTTCAGTGACGTATTAACATAATGTGGCATGTATGTACAGATAATGCATAGTTGTACAACATAGTGCATGGCTAGAATACTTGGTGTACGTGTGTACAGTAGTGGGGACCCTCCACCTACTGTGTTTCACATGTTCTGAGATTCATGTTTTGTACCTTTTTCACTTTTTCACGTGAAGGTTCCCCAGCACATAGGGTTCTAGCCTTTTCCACCTTGCACTCCAGCATGGCCAGCCATTGTAGCAGCAAGCCGAGGTCAGTTCCTTCCCACACACTCAGGCCATTTTGTTGTTTCATGGTACTCCTAGGATTCTTACAATATAAATTAATTTCATGTTTGTCATCTTCTGTCTCTCTTGTTCTCTGACGTCCTCACTCTGGTTCTCTCTCTCATCCTCCCTCCTCTTTACTCTCTCTTCTCTCTCTTCTCTGCTTCTCATTACTCTAGTCTCTCTTCTCATCTCTTCTCTGTCTCTCTGTCTCTCTCTCTCTCTGTCTCTCTCTCTCTCTGTCTCTCTCTCTCTCTCGTCTCTCTCTCTCTCTGTCTCTCTCTCTCTCTGTCTCTCTCTCTCTCTCTCTCTCTCTCTCTCTCTCTCTCTCTCTCTCTCTCTCTCTCTCTCTCTCTCTCTCTCTCCTCTCTCTCTCTCTCTCTCTCTCTCTCTCTCTCTCTTCTCTCTCTTCTCTCTCTCTCTTCTCTCTCTCTCTCTCTCTCTCTCTCTCTCTTCTCTCTTCTTTCTTCTCTTTCTCTCTCTCTCTCTCTTCTCTTTCTCTCTTTCCTCCCTCTCTCTCTTCTCTCTTTCTCTCCTCTCTTTCTCTCTTTCTCTTCTCTCTCTCTTTTCTCTCTCTCTCTCTCTCTCTTTCTCTCTCTTTCTCTCTCTTCTCTCTCTCTCTTTCCTCTCTTTCTCTTTCTCTCTCTCCTTTCTCTCTCTCTTTCTCTCTTTCTCTTTCTCTCTCTTTCTCTCTTTCTTTCTCTCTTTCTCTATCCTTCTCTCTCCTTCTCTCTCCTCTCTCCTTCTCTCTCTCACTCTCTCTCCTCTCTCTCCTTCACTCTCTCACTCACTCTCTCTCTCTCTCTCTCTCTCTTTTTTTTTTACACAGGGTTTGACAAGGTTAAGGATCCCTAGCTTTATTGACAAGCTATTTACAGGTTAAATATTCCTAACTTTATTGGCAAGCTAAGAGCTGTTACCTACATCAGCTCATTTGAAAGCATTTTTATTGTTATGAGACATACAAATAGGGAACAGGATGAAGTTGGAGCCATCTGTGGGCCAGCATTTTCATTTGATCAACTGACTTTATCTCGTTGACATCATTATGCTGTACGAATGTGTTCCATACTCGAGTCATCCTGGGTATGTATGATCTCAGATGGAGTGATGTTCTGGAGAAGGGTACAGCCAAAGTGAAGTTGCTGCTTTCTGCCCGTCTTGTGGCATAAAAGCTTGTTTCACGCTGTCCTCGATGTGGATCCAAGTGTGGTATTTTGACAATATTGGCCTTGTACATAACAGTAAGGCCACCCACATCCCTCCTATGTTGAAGGCTCTGCTGAAATGACAGATCTATCCAGGATGGGTCCAGGCGAGAGATGAGACATCTTGCTCTGTTCTCTACTCTGTCAAGCAGTCGCAGATGAGAGAGGGGGCAGGCAAACCAAGAAAGTGGAGCATACTCAAGGTGTGAGCGTACTTGTGCCTCGTACAGGATCTTGCAACCCCTACTGTCAAGCAGATGCGAGATACGGCGAAGTGCTGTAAGCTTCCTGGCTGCCTTGTTTGCAAGATTTACAACATGGTTCTTCATGGTTAGTTTGGAGTCAAATTTCACCCCAAGGATATCAACTTCTTCTCCAGGTGCCAACATCCTCCCATTCATCCTTACTACTGCACCAGCATTACCATCATGGTGCCTAGAGACGATCATCATTTGCGTTTTCTCAGGTGCAAATGTTACTTGCCATCTATTTCCCCAAGCTGATATAGCTCTCAGCTGGTGATTGATATAGCTTAGAGCAGCTGGGATTTCTTCTCTTGGATAAGTGAATGTCAGTGTACAGTCGTCTGCATACGCATGTGATTCTGGGATGAGATGAAGAAGGTCGTTGAAGTAGACATTCCATAACAATGGACCCAGCACGCTTCCTTGTGGAACGCTTGCCCCAATAGGATGCCTTGCTGATTCCGTTCCATTGAGGACTATACTTAGAGATCTACCATGAAGGTAATCACTGAGGAGACATAGCGTAGAGCCTGCAATTCCCAGTGCTTGAAGTTTTGCTAAGAGGCCCTGGTGCCACACTCGGTTGAAAGCGCCAGCAATGTCCAGTGCTACCACACAGCTGACTTTGGATTCATCCAGTGACTGGTGCCACTTAGTGGAGAGGTTTAACAACAGATCAGCAGCAGAGTAACCTTTCCTGAAGCCATATTGACGATCACAAAGTAGCGAGTGGTAGTCAAAAAAATCTGTCATTTGTCTTGAGATTATTGTCTCAAGGATCTTACCAGTGATTGACAGGAGTGACACTGGTCTGTAGTTGCTGATTTCTGCTCTGCTCTTCTTTTTGTGAACAGGGACTACATTTGCCTCTTTCCATAGAGAGGGCCATTTACACTGTACTAGGCAGTGCTGAAAGATGCGAGTTAGAGGTGCTGCTAGCTGGTCTGCACATCTTCTCAACAATCTTGGGCTCAACTTGTCTGGGCCCACAGCCTTTTCTTGGTCAAGTGATTTAAGAAGGAAATGCACCTCCTCCTGCCTTATTGTCACCACTGACAGTTTTGACACAGTTCTTGCAGCTAGCCAAGGAGGGTCCCTTGCTGGATCAGGAACTTGCATTTTGGTAGCAAAGTGTTCAGCAAAGAGGTCCGCCTTCTCTTGACTACTAGTAGAGGTGGTCCCATCCTGTCGATTTAGAGGTGGAATGAGTTCATCAGGCAGATAACCTTGTCTGTCTCTTTTTTTTTTTTTTTTTTTTTTTTTTTTTTTTTTTTTTTTTTTTACACAGGGTTTGACAAGGTTAAGGATCCCTAGCTTTATTGACAGCTATATTACAGGTTAAGGATTCCTAACTTTATTGGCAAGCTAAGAGCTGTTACCTACATCTCTTTCTCTCTCTCTCTCTCTCTCTCTCTCTCTCTGTCTGTCTATCTCTGTCTCTCTCTCTCTCTCTCTCTCTCTCTTTCTTTCTTTCTTTCTTTCTTTCTTTCTTTTCCAGTGTTTTCATTTCTGATCATTGTCTGTATTGAGTCTGGATATCATCATGGCATGGGATTATTTCTCCAGATCAACAATAAATGCAGGCTGGGGAAAATTATAGCCTATTTTGGTTAATAATTTCACAAGCTTTCCCCTCAGGTGACCCCCCTCAAGAGAGATTTCTTAATGCTGATGACATGCTTTCAATCTAAGGAATTAGACCAATGCTCTAATTCCTTGAAACAAGCCTGAATGTCTTCCATTCTTCCCCAGGTGCTGTATGATACTCCTGTGTCATACAGCACCTGTGTCATACAACATCCCTTAGTTGAAAGTCAAGTTCAGAAAAATGTTGACCTGGCAAGGAGATTGCGAGGTGAAGGCTTTGAAGATATGCAGCAAGTGGAGCTCAATTATAATAAAAATAATAATCTTTATTTCTACAACTACATGTACAACTTATACAGACCTATCTGACATCAGCGACATACTACTGTATTGAAAGCCCCTTGTTTTGAAGAGCATTTCAAGCAAATTAGGTCAGTTTTGTCCCAGGATGTGACTCACACCATTCTACTAGCTCCCAGGTACCTGTTTTACTGATAGGTGAACAGGGACAGGCACAGCAGGTGTCTTAAGGAAACAAGTTCTGATCTTTTCACCCATATCAGGGATCAAACCATGGACCTCAGCATGTGAACTGAGTGCACTAGCAATTGAAGTTTGGGGCAGATAGAAGGGAATCAGACATTGGAAGAGGAAGAAGAGCCTGCAGGGAAATGGTTAACACAACAACAGTTAGGTGAGCAGTTCTACATTGCTGCTAAATTTGCTGACTTTTTCTTGGAAGAGTACCCTGACACATCTAGAAGCACTGCTCTGAAGCAGTTGCTGGAACAGTCAGTGATGCCATACCACTGGCTAATACACAGAAGAGATGCATGACAATGCTTGAGGGCTCCTATAAATAACAGTTCTGTGTTGACTTAAGAACATGAACTCCAGCCACCCACTTCAACCCACAGCCATTCACTTCAGATCATAAACCCCATCAGCCATTCACTTCTGTCTATGAACCCCAATTATCCACTTCATTTGTAGCCCAGTTTGGCTACACCACACTTCTCCACTGACATCAGTCCACGTAAGGAGCAGCCAGAAAATAAGGTAATTGTCATCACATTGTTTGATTTTATTAGGTTTTGCTAGGTTAAGTCACCTAAAGTCAGTAATAAAAAAAAAAGCCACTGTGCCAACTTAAACTTAATGTATGTTCACAATATGCACTCATACTACTGTGCCTACTATAAATGCAGCCTCTCCTCACTTAACAACAGAGTTGCATTCCTTAGAGTAGGTCAGTTAGTGAATTGGTGGTTAAGTGAGGAGCATACTGTACTGGTTGTGGATTTGTGTCAGTTGCCTTAGATATTTTTTTAATGCCACCTTTGTGCCATTTATAACATTTTTACTTTATTTTTAAATGTTTATATGGTGGTGTACTGTATAAACATTTATACAGTACACTACTGTATTTCTCTGAAACTTTTCCTTGATAGCCGCAATGGAACACTAACCCCACCTGTACCATGGTTTCGTTGCAGTCATGTTATTACGATTTCATGAGCCATTACTGTCTTGGCAGAGGTGCACCAATACTGCAGCTCGGATGCCCTTCCAAACTGCATATATGCCCACCCCTCCTTCAGAGTGCAGGCACTGTACTTCCCACCTCCATAACATCTGAATTCCTTTTAAAACCATTGTACAATACTTATTTTATCAGTTCATGTGAATTGTGTATTTAAAATAAGTTTTCTTTTTTTGGAGGTGGCATATAATGTAACCCAGTTTTCCCTATAAGTTGTTCACTCCACCCATTGCTCTTTCACACATATAGCTCCATTTTAAATCCGAGTGGGGATCTTTTTAAATCCGAGTGGGGATCTGTAACAAGTGGCGTTCCACAGGGATCAGTCTTGGGCCCGTTGTTGTTTATAATATATATCAATGATCTTGATGAGGGAATTACTAGTGATATGAGCAAATTCGCCAATGACACAAAGATAGGTAGGAAAATTGATTCAAACGTAGATGTTATGGAACTTCAGGAGGATTTAAACAAACTCTATTCTTGGTCAGAAAAGTGGCAGATGCAGTTCAATGTAGATAAATGCAAGGTTCTGAAGCTTGGGAGTGCCCATAACCCTAGTACTTATAAGTTAAATGATGTAGAACTTAGCCATACAGATTGCGAAAAGGACTTGGGGGTTATGGTGAGCAGCAACCTTAAACCAAGACAGCAATGCCTAAGCGTACATAATAAGGCAAATAGATTACTGGGATTTATATCAAGAAGTGTAAGCAACAGAAGTCCAGAGGTCATACTGCAGCTTTATACATCATTAGTAAGGCCTCACCTAGATTATGCAGCTCAGTTCTGGTCTCTGTATTACAAAATGGACATAAATTCGTTAGAAAACATTCAGCGTAGGATAACTAAATTAATACATAGCATTAGAAATCTTCCTTATGAAGAAAGATTGAAGACTCTTAAGTTACATTCACTTGTTAGACAAAGAATGAGGGGAGACCTGATTGAAGTGTATAAGTGGAAGATAGGTATTAATAAAGGGGATATTAATAAGGTCTTGAGGATGTCTCTCCAAGAGAGAACCCGCAGTAATGGATTTAAATTAGATAAGTTTAGATTTAGAAAGGACATAGGAAAGTATTGGTTTGGAAATAGGGTAGTTGATGAGTGGAACAGTCTACCTAGTTGGGTTATTGAGGCTGGGACTTTGGGTAGTTTCAAATCTAGGTTGGATAAGTACATGAGTGGGAGGGGTTGGATTTGAGTGGGACTTTCACATCAGAGCTTATTTCTTGGGTGGCATTGAAAATTGGGTTGGGCAAATGTTTTGTTAGTGGGATGAATTGTAAAGGACCTGCCTAGTATGGGCCAGCAGGCCTCCTGCAGTGTTCCTCCTTTCTTATGTTCTTATGTTTTTCAGGAGCATAACTCTCATGAAGGTTGTTGTCTAACAAAGTAAAGCCATTACTTGTACAGACTTTAGTACGTGTGCAAGCAGAGTAACATTACTGCACCTCTGTACGTGATTAAGCCATTACTTGTATAAACATCAGAGCATGTGTGTGCATAGTAAAGCCATTACTTGTACAAAATATCTCTACCTAATGTTGCAACCAGAACTTCAAACCACTATATTTATGTATCTCCTCGCCTCTACTTATTATTGCTAGAACCTCTAGCCACTACTGTGAAAGAATATGATATGTATGAAGTTCCTATTAACAAAAATTCTGTGCTGCATTTGTGTTGACACTTTAAATGTGTGAAAAATTATGTTGATATATCATTTATATTGCAAAATTGTTTAAAATTCTCTAAGGATCTAGTAGAAGAGCTAATGTATAACAAATATCTTGTTTAGGGTGTGAGTCGAGGTGTGGTGTCGAGATCATCTTCTCATGTTGTCTCTCCCAGCAAGACTTCACCTACCAGTGGCTGGGATGAATGGGGAGACCAGGACACTCCAGGTAAACTGAAGCTTTTCTTTATTTGTACCTAAGTGGATATTGTTTTTCATTTGGTGAGTTTACAGTGGACCCTCCCTTTTCGTTGGGCTCTGTTTTTACTGATTTCCATTATCGCCAGGTTTTTCCATAAAATTATTGGCTCTGTTTTCGTTGCTTTCCTCCGTTCTTGTCGGTAGTACAGTAAAAATATTGGCTCTGTTTTTGTTGCTTTCCTCCATTCTCGTTGGTGGTACAGTACTTGTCTGTGTGCCGTGCACACAACCATTGACACACGCATTCTGAGGAGGCAGTGTGGCTTTGTTTATGGGTGAGTGAACATTATCGCACATGCTCATAGGAATTATTTCATATTAATTCATTGTTTCTGGCACTTGTTTATTCTGTGTGGCTGCTAAATAAGCCACCATGGGCCCAAACAAAGCTGCTAGTGCCAGTCCTTTGGTAAAGAAGGTGAGAAACACAAAATTAAAGAAAGAAATCATTGAAAAATGTGAATGTGGCTTACGTGTGATTGACATCGCGAGGATATACGGCAAGCCTTCATCAACCATCAGTTCCATCGTAGCAAAGAAAAACAAAATCAAGGAAGCTGATGTTGTGAAAGGGGTAAAAGTGATAACAAAACAGAGATCACAAACACTGGGAGATGTCGAAAAATTGTTGTTGGTTTGGATCAACGAGAAACAGTTAACGGGAGATAGTATTGTGCAGTCGATGATTTGGGAAAAGGCAAAGCAGTTGCATGCTGATCTCGTAAAGAAAATGCCTGGCCCATGGCTGGGCTCAGAGAGTAGATAAACTCTCGAAACTCTTCTTCAAAGGTTTAATGAGTGCTGATGTTAGTGAATTTAAGGGCAGCAACGGCTGTTTCAAAAAATTCGAGAAGCGTAGTGGCATACACAGTGTGGTAAGGCATGGTGAGGCTGCTAGTTCTGACACAAAAGCGGCTGAGAACTTTGTACAGGAGTTTAAGGGGTACATAGACACGGAAGAATTCCAACCCTAACAAGTGTTCAGTTGTGACAAAAGAGGCCTCTTTTGGAAGAAAATGCCAAAGAGGACCTTCATCACACAGGAGGAAACGGCACTCCCAGGACACAAGCCTATGAAAGACAGGCTAACTCTCATGTTTTGTAGTAATGCTAGTGGGGATTGCAAAGTGAAGCCTTTACTGGTTTATCGCTCTGAAAATCACTCTGAAAATCTCTCAAACCAACCTTTGCTGGCCTTAAAATCACAAGCATCACCACTCGTTGCAGGCATTTTCTTTACGAGATCGTCATTCAACTGCCTTGCCTTTTCACACATTATCGACTGCGTAATACTATCTCCTGCTAACTGTTTTTGGGTAATCCACACCAACAATAACCTTTCCACTTCTTCGAGAGTTTGCGATCTCTCTTTTTGTCAGCATATCTACCCCTTTTGCAACAACAGCACGCTTTATTTCCTTTCCCATCGCCATGATCGAAGTGATGGTTGAATGGGGTTTGCCATACATCCTGGCAAACTCTGTAACACGCACTCCACTCTCATATTTTTCAATGATTTCTCTCTTGAATTCGATCGTGTTCCTCACTTTCTTTACCAAAGGGCTGGCACTAGCTTTCCTTGGGCGCATGGTGACTTATTTTGCAGTTGCAAGCACAAAAAACAATGGATTATGAAATGTATGAACTCGTGGGGTGATGGTCACGCGCTGGTAAGCAGTGGCACACTGAGTGTGAATGGTGTGGGAGACTGGCTTTGTGTGTGCGCTGACAGGCGAATGTGTACCGGACGGTCGCCGAATCACGAGTCCAATCACGAACTGCGAAGCTAAATTTTGGCAAAAAAACTTGCCAAAAGTCGGATTTACGAAAGTCATGGCCAACGAAACGTGGGGTCCACTGTACTGTACTGTACAGTTACTGTACCAAAAAAACATAACTTCTTACAAAAAGAAGATAAATGCAGTTCCAGACACTACAACTATGCCAGGTGTGAGAAGCTTGAGGGAGAGGTTACATCATTGAATACAACACTTTGAAGAACATCAGAAGCAGTTGAGGGACTTGGAAGTTGATGTCCTAGGGAAGAGAAACACTCTGCTAGATGGCTATTTTTTAATGTTTCTTCCATTGCCATCTGCTTGAATAGCAATTGTTTTTGTTGTAGCAGTCTCTCCTTGATTTTATGCACTGACCTGGTTTCTTGTTCTGTTATGAATGCATGCTGCTCTAGTCCTTCAATAAGTCTGTCACACATTTTCACCACTGTCGGCATCTTTTCCACTGTGTTAAAATGTCATCATGATCATCACTATTATCGTCAAGATTACCTTGATTCAAAACCATTTTACCTATTTCACCATCAGTCACTGAATGAACAACAGGAGCATCAGTGTCGATGTCAAAAACTTCTTTGATATCCACTTCTTCCAGGTTGCTGATAAACTCTGAAGGTATACTGTTGCATATGTAAGGAAATCTATCATCTTTTTCTCACTTGACATTCATTATTTTTTAAACTCATCACTTTGTCCATCATCATCACTCATCATAGTTGCAGACCAGAGGTTGTGCCAGGCATGTGCAAGGGTGTCTTTAGTTACATGATTCATGGAATTGTCAGCTGCATATCGAAGCTCTCCACACCCACACCTCTTTTCACAGCTGCCAGCATGCTGTTCAGGAAATTGTCTTTATATTTTGTCTTCATTGATCTAAGGATGCCTTGGCCACATGACTGAATTAATGAAGTCTCATTTGGGGGAAAATACATGCCATAAACATTATTTTTTGATGAGAAGTTCAGGTGGAGGATGAGTGGAACAGTTGTCAAGGAATACCAAAATCTTTCACTTGGCATCCAGTCTGGCTTCCCTGCGCTGGGCACAAGTTACTGGTACAAAATATTTGCGAAACTAATCAGGAAAGCTGTTCCTGGAGAAACCCCGTGCCCTTTTGCTAGCATAATAATGGACTCGTAAGGTATTCACACCCTTAAAACAGCGAAGGCGCAGCCTTTTCCCAACCATCAATTCTTGATGGACTGAACACATCGACTCCAGGCTGAGGGACTGATTACCTCATTCTCCTCCTCTCCTTACGCCTTCCTCTTTGTATTGGACTGATGAAGCCACTGATGAAACCTTCTGTTCCTATTCCAACCCTCTTCAACCCCCCCCCCAACTACTCATACTTGTACTAGCCCATCTTTCTGCCAATAGTTGCTTATATCTCACCCTAACTTCCTCCTCCCTAAGTTTATACACTTTCACCTCTCTTACGTGTTGTTGTCATTTTCTTTTTGTACCGGAGTTAGTAATTATTCAAATTACAACTGGGATTCTGGCTATCCTGCCTGTGATGCTGTTGGTTGTAGGAAACATTGGTCACACCAGACTCTCACATGGTCATCTTATTGGGAAGCACTCAGTGTTTCTCTTGTGAAATTGTCATCTTGTTGACTTTGCAACATCTTTTGATTGTACTGTTTATCAAAATGCACAATAACTTTGCTTTTGACCTCTGATTCAATATACATACTTTTTTTTCCTCCTCTCTGACAGTCTTAACGTTTAATGTAGAATCTCTATGTTTTAATTGAAAGTGATTTTCTGCACTGTCATGATGTCCCCTCTTTACCCTTGTGCTCATTTCCAGTATTTGTTTGCACATCATTCCATCTTACCATCCACCTCATCTGCTATTCACTGCTGAATGATTTGCATAGTTTAGTGCTTTTCTGCAATATAATAATTTGTAACATGAGAAACTATAACTTCATATATTTCAGTGTTTGGTTGACTATCCTCAAAAAAATATTATAATTAGTCATCTGAGTGTCTTTTCTTTCAGTGCTTAGTAACCTTGGTACCAAAGGAGATGAGCAGCGTAGACAACGGGAAGAAAAGAAGCAACAGAGACAGAGAGAGATTGAAGCTAAACGAGCAGCTCGTGCTGGACCCATGAAACTGGGTGCAAAGAAAATCTGAAATACATCTCTAGGAAATAGTCAGAGTTGCTTACTAATATTGTTCAAGAACAGGTCTAGATGATGTATTGCAACTGAGATGAAAGATCTTAATTTTAGAATTTTTATTTACTTGTAAATACATTTTTTTTACATCAATGCTTTGATAATATCCTTAAAACTTTCATAGTGATATGTAAAAGATACTGTATTTTTATAGCACTCCTATTATTGTATTCTGGTAACCTAACTATTTCTAGTATTGAGAAATGAAATGTGTATGTAGAATATTCTTGAAAACCTTTATGCTATACATTTCTCCTTTGAGGACCTTAATAAAATACCCGAAGCTTTCATATAGAAAATTTTTTGTTTTGCTTTACTGTCACCGAGCAGAAGAAAATGTGCTGTTAAACAACGGCAGACATGGTGGCGCAGCAGAAGAAACACAGGACTATAAATTATAAATGCAGTACATACACCTGGATTTACAGCTGGAGCACTAAGGAACTAATCAACTTTGCAACAAGTCATCCCCACTGCAAATGTGTATAACATAGTCATCCTTTGTGTTATTGTTTTCTATCCTCTTCAAGGGGGGCTCCTTGGCGTGGTGAAGAGGCTCTTGGTCTGAGGAATTAGACCTGTCGGTCTACTTCCTCAGACCGAACCTAATTACCCCCCAATCCCCCGTTCCCTATCCCATCCTCCCCATCCTCCCCTTTTTCCTTTCCTCCTCCTCCTCCCCACCCCTCCCTTTTGCCCTTCCTTTTTGGCCTTTGTTTTTTTTTTTTTTTTCTCCACAGGCACGCTAGTTCCTAGGCAGGGGAAAGGGTACCGGGGTTCATCCCATTCCGTTGAGGTTCTTGGGCGGTGGCGTAGTTTGCCGTGGAATCTGGATTGCCTGGGATGTCCTGATCCCTCTCTGGTATCCCAGAGGTGGCTTTTGGGTGTCTCTCAGGCGACGGTGTATCTCTGAAGCCACCTTTCGGATTCCGGGTGGGGGCCGAAGGAGGTATGCTTTGTGGCGGATTTCCGCCGCCCTCTCTTTTGTCCACCGAGGTAGCTCGGCAGATGTGAGGTTGCTATCCCGGATTCCGGTTTACTGGCATGATGGGTAGGGTATGGCACGGGTTCCATGCTGCATCTGCGCTACTTGCGGGGCTGAGGTCCCTCTTGGGCGCGGAGGGAGATTTCTGGGCCCCTTTCATTCCTCCTAGGAACTATCCCTCCCCGGTCCCCCCCTTTTTTTTATTCTTTTTTTTATTTTTATTTTCTTTTCTTCTTTTTTTTCTTAAAAGCAAAAAGAAAAAGTAAACCAACCATGGCAGCCCTAGTCCACGAACCTGCTACCCCCGGGCCCCTTCTTGATACTGCCCCCGTTTTGACCCCGCCTCGTCTTTGGACCACTCTTTTGGACACTCCTCATGCCTCTGTACCTCTTGTCGGTGCTGTTTCCCCCACCCGCTTCAGGTACTGAGGGCCCCGACTGACTCCTTCGATTTACGACCTTTGCTCTCCTCTGACTATGCTTCCGGGCCCCTCCCTCCACGGTGCGGCAATTTTCGAATCGCCGGCCCGTTCCACTCGGACCAACTCTGGTCCCATGCCTAAACGACAACGACAATTACCTCTGATGATACTTCTCCACCTTCTCGTTCTTCTCAGAAAAAATCGACACGTCCTTCACTACCTTTCCACGCTCATTTTCAGACTGCACAATGGACTAAATTCTTCACTTTAAAGACCGACTTCCTCACTGGGCCCATCTTTCTGACCACAGTATTGGGAAGGCACTCCTACGCCATGTTGGTAAAGATATTTCTTTTCATGCTCTTAAGAGCGGGACGCGCAAACGTCACCGTACAGAATGCTACCCAGGCTCATGAGCTTTCCCCGTCTTTCCCCTATCGATACTGTTCCTGTAACATTGAAAAGCATCCCTTCCCCCAATTCTTGTAGTGGTACCGTCATTCTGCCCCATACCATAGTTCAACAAAATTTTCCCGACATGTGGCACTGACATTCATGAACAGCTGGAACTCCAAGATCTCCCAATCCTCAAGGGAGAAAACTTACGTTCTTCCTGCCCGCGGGGGGAGACGATACCCTAGCAATGTGCTTTTTTAACTTTTTACAGCCGGAACTCCCCCTCCTCAGTTTATGTAGCAGGGCATCGGTTTACAAGTTCGAAAGGTGATCCCTACACTGCAACAGTGTAGAAATTGCTGGCGATTTGGCCATCCAGCGAAATATTGCAGATCTATCGCCGAATGCCTAGTCTGTGGTGCCGATGACCATTCTAATACGTCTTTGCAATCGACCTCCCTCTTGCCTTAATTGTCCCTGAGGCTCACCCTTCGTACTCTCGCCGTTGTCAAGTCTACTTAAACGAGCGGGAAAACCGTTACCTCAAAGAGCAGAAGGTCTCCCTTATGCCATGGCAGTTTCTCATCTCCGCCTCCAAAGGAACTACCTCGTGTTTCTTATTCCTGTGTTTTTTAAAACGTCCCCCCACTTCTGGTACCCATCTTCTGCACCCACCTCTGTGGTTACCTCTCCCATAGTCACTCCTGTAGCTAATTCTTTTGCTGTCCTCGCTTTGACGTCCCTACTTCAACATCTGTCTGATCTTGCTTTTTCGTGTTCTCTCTCACAAGCCTCAGTAGCGACGAGATCTCGTATGACACCTCCTCCCAATCGTCCCTCTACTCCTCAAAGTCAAAAAAAGGTCCGTTAACCCCTCCTACCCATCTTCCACCTCCTCATTTTCCCCTTCCTGTCTCTGTACCTGGTTCTCCCCCCTCTCACTGGCTCTGTTACAAGTGTAGAGGTTCACCCTCCTCCTCGACTGTACCTTCCTCCCCTGTTCCCTCCCAAGTTTTCTTCTTCTTCTGCCACCTCCCAGGTTTTTCTGCCTCTTCTGTCCCCTTCCACGCTTCTCCAGTTCCCTCCACCCTTTCGCCCTCCCCCCCCTACCTTGGTACAGTCCATTACAGTTCCAATCTTTACCATCCTCCCCCTACCATTTCCAATATTTTCTCCCATACACGTCTCTGAATTCTGAAACACTTGACGCAATCTCTGAATATATTGCAGAGACCAAAACCCTCAATGGACACTGATCCACCCTCCGCTCCTTCTCTCTCCTCTACTCCATCTGCGCAACTCCTTTCTTCACAGCGCACCGTTCCTTCGCTGCTTGAACGTTTTCCACTGCCTCCCATGTGGACTTTTTTAACCCCCTAGCCGTAGGAAAACCCTTTCCTGCGGATTTCAGTTATCTTTATCATTGCCAATCATGGCCTAGTTACAATGGAATATACGCGGCCTCAGGGTAATCGGGGTGACTTCAGATGTTACTCTCCCATTTTCCCCTGTTGGTGTTTGCTTACAGGAACCAAAATTACACTCTGCTGTTATCTCTCCCATCTCAGGCTATAATTTATTGTATTCTTCAGATCCTTTTCCTGATGGGACCTTTTAAAGAAATTGCCCTTCTTCTATGCACTGATATTCCATACCATCAGCTATTTTTTCGTACTTCGCTGCATTACACACAGCCCGTAAACCACTTGCATAGGTGGTATACGCTCTGTTCTTTTAACTCTCTCCTTCTCGGGCATTATCTATTCCGATATTGCCTTTCTGTTTCGTCATTACCACCACTGATTCTGTTACTTGGTGATTTTAAATGCCCACCATTCCTCTTGGGGGGGGGTGTCTCACTGTGATTCCCGTGCATTCAGTTAGAGGCTTTTCTTGCCACCCACCCCCTCCATGTTTTAAATACAGGTACTCCCACCCATTTTGATCCTCGGACTCACACTCTCTCTTGCATCGATCTCTCATCTGCTCTTCCTCCGCCGCGTTAGACTTCACTTGGTCTGTTCTTCCGGGCTTACATGACAGCGATCATTTCCCAATCATTCCCTTTCTTCCCCTTCCATATTCACCACCTCTTCGCATCCCCCGCTGACAATTTGATCAGGCAAATTGGAACCTTTACTCACACCTAACTGTTTTTAGAGAGGTTCCTTCTTCGTCCTCCATCGATGAGCTTTTACACCTCTTCTTGTCCTCCGTTTTAAAACCCCAGCTTCTCATTCTATACCCCAAACTTCGGGCAGGGATTCTCAGAAATGCGTGCCTTGGTGGTCTCCTGCTTGTGCTCGTGCAGTACGTTTGAAACCGCTGCATGGGGCAGGTACCGGGAACAATAGAACCACAGAGAACTTCTTGATTTTAAGCAGAAGCGTGCGATCGCCTCGCCGTGTCATCCGTGACGCTAAACGCACTTGCTGGCGAGATTGTCTCCACCATCACCTCTGCTTCCTCATGATGCAGTCTGGAAAAAAGTTTCGAAAACTGAGTGGTAAATATTCTCCTGACCCCGGGTCCTGTTCTGTGGGGTTTTCGGTGTTGATATAGCAAACCCACTAGATGTTGCCAATGAAATTGGCAATCATCTGGTCTGTATTTCTCAGGGACTCCATCTATGCCCCTCATTTCTTTCCTCAAAGTCTGCCAGAGAGTTAGCAACCCTTGGACTTTTTTCTTTCTCAGAGAAGAACAGTATAATGTGCCTTTTTCACTTCAAGAACTGGAGGCAACACACTCAGCTTGCCGATCATCGGCAGCTGGGCCCGACGACATTCATATTCGTAGCTACAACATTTACATCAGTCAGCCCTTGCAGTCCTATTACGCCTTTACAATCTTATTTGGTCACAAGGAGTTCTTCCACAGCTGTGGAAATCCGCCATTGTTCTCCCTTTTCCGCAAAACCCGGGACTAAAGGGACATGAAACTTCCCACTATCGTCCCATTGCCTTACCAGTGCAGTTTGCAAAGTGATGGAACGCCTAGTAAATAACGTTTAAATGGGTATTTAGAGACACACAACAGTCCTCTCCACTCGTCAATATGGCTTTCGTAAGGGACGTTCTACCCTAGACCCCTTACTACTCTTGGATACGTATGTTCGTAATGCCTTTGCGAATAACCACTCAGTTTTTTGCCATATTTTTTTGACCTTGAGAAGGCATATGACACAACTTGGAGGTAAATATTTTAGCCCAAGCCCCTCCTTAAAGGCCTTCGAGCAATCTACCATCCTTCCTTAAGAACTTTTAACTGACAGGCATTTCCGTGTTCGGGTTAATAATGTGCTCTCCCCGGACTTTACCCAAGCTGAAGGTGTCCCCCAGGGATGGTTCTGAGACAACATTTTTTCTCCTTGCAATTAATGATCTGGCCTCTGTTTTCCATCAATATTTGGTCATCACTCTATGTTGATGATTTCGTATTGCCTGTGCGGGCGCTGACTGTCACCTTTTTAACAGTTCTCCCCGCATGCAGTCGACCGTGTTTTCCAATTGGGCCCCCCACACTGGGTTTAAATTTTCCAGCACTAAAACCCAAAAAATTATTTTTACTAGCCCCTCATCATCCCGTCATCCTTTGTACCTCTAGGGCCCTGTATCCCTGAACTGATCATCAATTTCTGGCCTCCTTTTTGATCGAAGGTTACCCTGGAAACCTCACATTACCTCCTGAAGGAAACTTGTCACAGCCGGTGAACCT